GCGCAGGATCCAGAGTCCTGAGTGCTAACCGCTACACCACGGGACCAACGATCGCATTCGCATCGCTGAGAACTGTTTTCCATTCTATCCTCATCGCAAAGCCCTCTTGACAATGACGAAGTATTAAAGACTTTGCGCAAAAGACTAGGTCCCGGTGAGATTTGAACTCACGTCGCAGGATTCAGAGTCCTGAGTGCTAACCGCTACACCACGGGACCACCGATCGCATTCGCATCGCTGAGAACGGTTTTCCATTCTATCCTCATCGCAAAGCCCTCTTGACGATGACGAAGTATTGAAGACTTTGCGCAAAAGACTAGGTCCCGGTGAGATTTGAACTCACGTCGCAGGATTCAGAGTCCTGAGTGCTAACCGCTACACCACGGGACCACCGATCGCATTCGCATCGCTGAGAACGGTTTTCCATTCTATCCTCATCGCAAAGCCCTCTTGACGATGACGAAGTATTGAAGACTTTGCGCAAAAGACTAGGTCCCTGTGAGATTTGAACTCACGTCGCAGGATTCAGAGTCCTGAGTGCTAACCGCTACACCACGGGACCGAACCGATCGCATTCGCATCGCTGAGAACTGTTTTCCATTCTATCCTCATCGCAAAGCCCTCTTGACGATGACGAAGTATTGAAGACCTTGCGCAGGATCCAGAGTCCTGAGTGCTAACCGCTACACCACGGGACCACCGATCGCATTCGCATCGCTGAGAACTGTTTTCCATTCTATCCTCATCGCAAAGCCCTCTTGACGATGACGAAGTATTGAAGACTTTGCGCAAAAGACTAGGTCCCGGTGAGATTTGAACTCACGTCGCAGGATTCAGAGTCCTGAGTGCTAACCGCTACACCACGGGACCACCGATCGCATTCGCATCGCTGAGAACGGTTTTCCATTCTATCCTCATCGCAAAGCCCTCTTGACGATGACGAAGTATTGAAGACTTTGCGCAAAAGACTAGGTCCCTGTGAGATTTGAACTCACGTCGCAGGATTCAGAGTCCTGAGTGCTAACCGCTACACCACGGGACCGAACCGATCGCATTCGCATCGCTGAGAACTGTTTTCCATTCTATCCTCATCGCAAAGCCCTCTTGACGATGACGAAGTATTGAAGACCTTGCGCAGGATCCAGAGTCCTGAGTGCTAACCGCTACACCACGGGACCACCGATCGCATTCGCATCGCTGAGAACTGTTTTCCATTCTATCCTCATCGCAAAGCCCTCTTGACGATGACGAAGTATTGAAGACTTTGCGCAAAAGACTAGGTCCCGGTGAGATTTGAACTCACGTCGCAGGATTCAGAGTCCTGAGTGCTAACCGCTACACCACGGGACCACCGATCGCATTCGCATCGCTGAGATTGGTTTTCCATTCTAACCTCATCGCAAAGCCCTCCTGACAATGACGAAGTATTAGAGACCTTGCGCAAAAGACTAGGTCCCGGTGAGATTTGAACTCACGTCGCAGGATTCAGAGTCCTGAGTGCTAACCGCTACACCACGGGACCACCGATCGCATTCGCATCGCTGAGAACTGTTTTCCATTCTATCCTCATCGCAAAGCCCTCTTGACGATGACGAAGTATTGAAGACTTTGCGCAAAAGACTAGGTCCCGGTGAGATTTGAACTCACGTCGCAGGATTCAGAGTCCTGAGTGCTAACCGCTACACCACGGGACCACCGATCGCATTCGCATCGCTGAGAACGGTTTTCCATTCTAACCTCATCGCAAAGCCCTCCTGACAATGACGAAGTATTAGAGACCTTGCGCAAAAGACTAGGTCCCGGTGAGATTTGAACTCACGTCGCAGGATTCAGAGTCCTGAGTGCTAACCGCTACACCACGGGACCACCGATCGCATTCGCATCGCTGAGAACTGTTTTCCATTCTATCCTCATCGCAAAGCCCTCTTGACGATGGCGAAGTATTGAAGACCTTGCGCAGGATCCAGAGTCCTGAGTGCTAACCGCTACACCACGGGACCACCGATCGCATTCGCATCGCTGAGAACTGTTTTCCATTCTATCCTCATCGCAAAGCCCTCTTGACAATGACGAAGTATTAAAGACTTTGCGCAAAAGACTAGGTCCCGGTGAGATTTGAACTCACGTCGCAGGATTCAGAGTCCTGAGTGCTAACCGCTACACCACGGGACCACCGATCGCATTCGCATCGCTGAGAACTGTTTTCCATTCTGTCCTCATCGCAAAGCCCTCTTGACGATGACGAAGTATTGAAGACCTTGCGCTAACCGCTACACCACGGGACCACCGATCGCATTCGCATCGCTGAGAACTGTTTTCCATTCTATCCTCATCGCAAAGCCCTCTTGACGATGACGAAATATTGAAGACTTTGCGCAAAAGACTAGGTCCCGGTGAGATTTGAACTCACGTCGCAGGATTCAGAGTCCTGAGTGCTAACCGCTACACCACGGGACCACCGATCGCATTCGCATCGCTGAGAACGGTTTTCCATTCTATCCTCATCGCAAAGCCCTCTTGACGATGACGAAGTATTGAAGACTTCGCGCAAAAGACTAGGTCCCTGTGAGATTTGAACTCACGTCGCAGGATTCAGAGTCCTGAGTGCTAACCGCTACACCACGGGACCACCGATCGCATTCGCATCGCTGAGAACAGTTTTCCATTCTATCCTCATCGCAAAGCCCTCTTGACGATGACGAAGTATTGAAGACTTTGCGCAAAAGACTAGGTCCCGGTGAGATTTGAACTCACGTCGCAGGATTCAGAGTCCTGAGTGCTAACCGCTACACCACGGGACCACCGATCGCATTCGCATCGCTGAGAACGGTTTTCCATTCTATCCTCATCGCAAAGCCCTCTTGACGATGACGAAGTATTGAAGACTTCGCGCAAAAGACTAGGTCCCTGTGAGATTTGAACTCACGTCGCAGGATTCAGAGTCCTGAGTGCTAACCGCTACACCACGGGACCACCGATCGCATTCGCATCGCTGAGAACTGTTTTCCATTCTATCCTCATCGCAAAGCCCTCTTGACGATGACGAAGTATTGAAGACTTTGCGCAAAAGACTAGGTCCCGGTGAGATTTGAACTCACGTCGCAGGATTCAGAGTCCTGAGTGCTAACCGCTACACCACGGGACCACCGATCGCATTCGCATCGCTGAGAACGGTTTTCCATTCTAACCTCATCGCAAAGCCCTCCTGACAATGACGAAGTATTAGAGACCTTGCGCAAAAGACTAGGTCCCGGTGAGATTTGAACTCACGTCGCAGGATTCAGAGTCCTGAGTGCTAACCGCTACACCACGGGACCACCGATCGCATTCGCATCGCTGAGAACTGTTTTCCATTCTATCCTCATCGCAAAGCCCTCTTGACGATGGCGAAGTATTGAAGACCTTGCGCAGGATCCAGAGTCCTGAGTGCTAACCGCTACACCACGGGACCACCGATCGCATTCGCATCGCTGAGAACTGTTTTCCATTCTATCCTCATCGCAAAGCCCTCTTGACAATGACGAAGTATTAAAGACTTTGCGCAAAAGACTAGGTCCCGGTGAGATTTGAACTCACGTCGCAGGATTCAGAGTCCTGAGTGCTAACCGCTACACCACGGGACCACCGATCGCATTCGCATCGCTGAGAACTGTTTTCCATTCTGTCCTCATCGCAAAGCCCTCTTGACGATGACGAAGTATTGAAGACCTTGCGCTAACCGCTACACCACGGGACCACCGATCGCATTCGCATCGCTGAGAACTGTTTTCCATTCTATCCTCATCGCAAAGCCCTCTTGACGATGACGAAATATTGAAGACTTTGCGCAAAAGACTAGGTCCCGGTGAGATTTGAACTCACGTCGCAGGATTCAGAGTCCTGAGTGCTAACCGCTACACCACGGGACCACCGATCGCATTCGCATCGCTGAGAACAGTTTTCCATTCTATCCTCATCGCAAAGCCCTCTTGACGATGGCGAAGTATTGAAGACCTTGCGCAGGATCCAGAGTCCTGAGTGCTAACCGCTACACCACGGGACCACCGATCGCATTCGCATCGCTGAGAACGGTTTTCCATTCTATCCTCATCGCAAAGCCCTCTTGACGATGACGAAGTATTGAAGACTTTGCGCAAAAGACTAGGTCCCGGTGAGATTTGAACTCACGTCGCAGGATTCAGAGTCCTGAGTGCTAACCGCTACACCACGGGACCACCGATCGCATTCGCATCGCTGAGAACGGTTTTCCATTCTATCCTCATCGCAAAGCCCTCTTGACGATGACGAAGTATTGAAGACTTCGCGCAAAAGACTAGGTCCCTGTGAGATTTGAACTCACGTCGCAGGATTCAGAGTCCTGAGTGCTAACCGCTACACCACGGGACCACCGATCGCATTCGCATCGCTGAGAACTGTTTTCCATTCTATCCTCATCGCAAAGCCCTCTTGACGATGACGAAGTATTGAAGACTTTGCGCAAAAGACTAGGTCCCGGTGAGATTTGAACTCACGTCGCAGGATTCAGAGTCCTGAGTGCTAACCGCTACACCACGGGACCACCGATCGCATTCGCATCGCTGAGAACTGTTTTCCATTCTGTCCTCATCGCAAAGCCCTCTTGACAATGACGAAGTATTAAAGACTTTGCGCAAAAGACTAGGTCCCGGTGAGATTTGAACTCACGTCGCAGGATTCAGAGTCCTGAGTGCTAACCGCTACACCACGGGACCACCGATCGCATTCGCATCGCTGAGAACTGTTTTCCATTCTGTCCTCATCGCAAAGCCCTCTTGACGATGACGAAGTATTGAAGACCTTGCGCTAACCGCTACACCACGGGACCACCGATCGCATTCGCATCGCTGAGAACTGTTTTCCATTCTATCCTCATCGCAAAGCCCTCTTGACGATGACGAAATATTGAAGACTTTGCGCAAAAGACTAGGTCCCGGTGAGATTTGAACTCACGTCGCAGGATTCAGAGTCCTGAGTGCTAACCGCTACACCACGGGACCACCGATCGCATTCGCATCGCTGAGAACAGTTTTCCATTCTATCCTCATCGCAAAGCCCTCTTGACGATGGCGAAGTATTGAAGACCTTGCGCAGGATCCAGAGTCCTGAGTGCTAACCGCTACACCACGGGACCACCGATCGCATTCGCATCGCTGAGAACTGTTTTCCATTCTATCCTCATCGCAAAGCCCTCTTGACGATGACGAAGTATTGAAGACTTTGCGCAAAAGACTAGGTCCCGGTGAGATTTGAACTCACGTCGCAGGATTCAGAGTCCTGAGTGCTAACCGCTACACCACGGGACCACCGATCGCATTCGCATCGCTGAGAACGGTTTTCCATTCTATCCTCATCGCAAAGCCCTCTTGACGATGACGAAGTATTGAAGACTTCGCGCAAAAGACTAGGTCCCTGTGAGATTTGAACTCACGTCGCAGGATTCAGAGTCCTGAGTGCTAACCGCTACACCACGGGACCACCGATCGCATTCGCATCGCTGAGAACTGTTTTCCATTCTATCCTCATCGCAAAGCCCTCTTGACGATGACGAAGTATTGAAGACTTTGCGCAAAAGACTAGGTCCCGGTGAGATTTGAACTCACGTCGCAGGATTCAGAGTCCTGAGTGCTAACCGCCACACCACGGGACCACCGATCGCATTCGCATCGCTGAGAACGGTTTTCCATTCTATCCTCATCGCAAAGCCCTCCTGAAAATGACGAAGTATTGGAGACCTTGCGCAGGATACAGAGTCCTGAGTGCTAACCGCTACACCACGGGACCACCGATCGCATTCGCATCGCTGAGAACTGTTTTCCATTCTATCCTCATCGCAAAGCCCTCTTGACGATGGCGAAGTATTGAAGACCTTGCGCAGGATCCAGAGTCCTGAGTGCTAACCGCTACACCACGGGACCACCGATCGCATTCGCATCGCTGAGAACTGTTTTCCATTCTTTCCTCATCGCAAAGCCCTCTTGACGATGACGAAGTATTGAAGACTTTGCGCAAAAGACTAGGTCCCGGTGAGATTTGAACTCACGTCGCAGGATTCAGAGTCCTGAGTGCTAACCGCCACACCACGGGACCACCGATCGCATTCGCATCGCTGAGAACGGTTTTCCATTCTAACCTCATCGCAAAGCCCTCCTGACAATGACGAAGTATTAGAGACCTTGCGCAAAAGACTAGGTCCCGGTGAGATTTGAACTCACGTCGCAGGATTCAGAGTCCTGAGTGCTAACCGCTACACCACGGGACCACCGATCGCATTCGCATCGCTGAGAACTGTTTTCCATTCTGTCCTCATCGCAAAGCCCTCTTGACGATGACGAAGTATTGAAGACCTTGCGCAGGATCCAGAGGTCCTGAGTGCTAACCGCTACACCACGGGACCACCGATCGCATTCGCATCGCTGAGAACGGTTTTCCATTCTATCCTCATCGCAAAGCCCTCTTGACGATGACGAAGTATTGAAGACTTTGCGCAAAAGACTAGGTCCCGGTGAGATTTGAACTCACGTCGCAGGATTCAGAGTCCTGAGTGCTAACCGCTACACCACGGGACCACCGATCGCATTCGCATCGCTGAGAACGGTTTTCCATTCTATCCTCATCGCAAAGCCCTCTTGACGATGACGAAGTATTGAAGACTTCGCGCAAAAGACTAGGTCCCTGTGAGATTTGAACTCACGTCGCAGGATTCAGAGTCCTGAGTGCTAACCGCTACACCACGGGACCACCGATCGCATTCGCATCGCTGAGAACTGTTTTCCATTCTATCCTCATCGCAAAGCCCTCTTGACGATGGCGAAGTATTGAAGACCTTGCGCAGGATCCAGAGTCCTGAGTGCTAACCGCTACACCACGGGACCACCGATCGCATTCGCATCGCTGAGAACTGTTTTCCATTCTATCCTCATCGCAAAGCCCTCTTGACGATGACGAAGTATTGAAGACTTTGCGCAAAAGACTAGGTCCCGGTGAGATTTGAACTCACGTCGCAGGATTCAGAGTCCTGAGTGCTAACCGCCACACCACGGGACCACCGATCGCATTCGCATCGCTGAGAACGGTTTTCCATTCTATCCTCATCGCAAAGCCCTCCTGACAATGACGAAGTATTGGAGACCTTGCGCAGGATACAGAGTCCTGAGTGCTAACCGCTACACCACGGGACCACCGATCGCATTCGCATCGCTGAGAACTGTTTTCCATTCTATCCTCATCGCAAAGCCCTCTTGACGATGGCGAAGTATTGAAGACCTTGCGCAGGATCCAGAGTCCTGAGTGCTAACCGCTACACCACGGGACCACCGATCGCATTCGCATCGCTGAGAACTGTTTTCCATTCTATCCTCATCGCAAAGCCCTCTTGACGATGACGAAGTATTGAAGACTTTGCGCAAAAGACTAGGTCCCGGTGAGATTTGAACTCACGTCGCAGGATTCAGAGTCCTGAGTGCTAACCGCCACACCACGGGACCACCGATCGCATTCGCATCGCTGAGAACTGTTTTCCATTCTGTCCTCATCGCAAAGCCCTCTTGACGATGACGAAGTATTGAAGACCTTGCGCAGGATCCAGAGGTCCTGAGTGCTAACCGCTACACCACGGGACCACCGATCGCATTCGCATCGCTGAGAACGGTTTTCCATTCTATCCTCATCGCAAAGCCCTCTTGACGATGACGAAGTATTGAAGACTTTGCGCAAAAGACTAGGTCCCGGTGAGATTTGAACTCACGTCGCAGGATTCAGAGTCCTGAGTGCTAACCGCTACACCACGGGACCACCGATCGCATTCGCATCGCTGAGAACTGTTTTCCATTCTTTCCTCATCGCAAAGTCCTCTTGACGATGGCGAAGTATTGAAGACCTTGCGCAGGATCCAGAGTCCTGAGTGCTATCGCTACACCACGGGGCCACCGATCGCATTCGCATCGCTGAGAACGGTTTTCCATTCTATCCTCATCGCAAAGCCCTCTTGACGATGACGAAGTATTGAAGACTTTGCGCAAAAGACTAGGTCCCTGTGAGATTTGAACTCACGTCGCAGGATTCAGAGTCCTGAGTGCTAACCGCTACACCACGGGACCGAACCGATCGCATTCGCATCGCTGAGAACTGTTTTCCATTCTATCCTCATCGCAAAGCCCTCTTGACGATGACGAAGTATTGAAGACCTTGCGCAGGATCCAGAGTCCTGAGTGCTAACCGCTACACCACGGGACCACCGATCGCATTCGCATCGCTGAGAACTGTTTTCCATTCTATCCTCATCGCAAAGCCCTCTTGACGATGACGAAGTATTGAAGACTTTGCGCAAAAGACTAGGTCCCGGTGAGATTTGAACTCACGTCGCAGGATTCAGAGTCCTGAGTGCTAACCGCTACACCACGGGACCACCGATCGCATTCGCATCGCTGAGAACGGTTTTCCATTCTAACCTCATCGCAAAGCCCTCCTGACAATGACGAAGTATTAGAGACCTTGCGCAAAAGACTAGGTCCCGGTGAGATTTGAACTCACGTCGCAGGATTCAGAGTCCTGAGTGCTAACCGCTACACCACGGGACCACCGATCGCATTCGCATCGCTGAGAACTGTTTTCCATTCTGTCCTCATCGCAAAGCCCTCTTGACGATGACGAAGTATTGAAGACCTTGCGCAGGATCCAGAGGTCCTGAGTGCTAACCGCTACACCACGGGACCACCGATCGCATTCGCATCGCTGAGAACTGTTTTCCATTCTATCCTCATCGCAAAGCCCTCTTGACGATGACGAAGTATTGAAGACTTTGCGCAAAAGACTAGGTCCCGGTGAGATTTGAACTCACGTCGCAGGATTCAGAGTCCTGAGTGCTAACCGCTACACCACGGGACCACCGATCGCATTCGCATCGCTGAGAACTGTTTTCCATTCTATCCTCATCGCAAAGTCCTCTTGACGATGGCGAAGTATTGAAGACCTTGCGCAGGATCCAGAGTCCTGAGTGCTATCGCTACACCACGGGACCACCGATCGCATTCGCATCGCTGAGAACGGTTTTCCATTCTATCCTCATCGCAAAGCCCTCTTGACGATGACGAAGTATTGAAGACTTTGCGCAAAAGACTAGGTCCCTGTGAGATTTGAACTCACGTCGCAGGATTCAGAGTCCTGAGTGCTAACCGCTACACCACGGGACCGAACCGATCGCATTCGCATCGCTGAGAACTGTTTTCCATTCTATCCTCATCGCAAAGCCCTCTTGACGATGACGAAGTATTGAAGACCTTGCGCAGGATCCAGAGTCCTGAGTGCTAACCGCTACACCACGGGACCACCGATCGCATTCGCATCGCTGAGAACTGTTTTCCATTCTATCCTCATCGCAAAGCCCTCTTGACGATGACGAAGTATTGAAGACTTTGCGCAAAAGACTAGGTCCCGGTGAGATTTGAACTCACGTCGCAGGATTCAGAGTCCTGAGTGCTAACCGCTACACCACGGGACCACCGATCGCATTCGCATCGCTGAGAACGGTTTTCCATTCTAACCTCATCGCAAAGCCCTCCTGACAATGACGAAGTATTAGAGACCTTGCGCAAAAGACTAGGTCCCGGTGAGATTTGAACTCACGTCGCAGGATTCAGAGTCCTGAGTGCTAACCGCTACACCACGGGACCACCGATCGCATTCGCATCGCTGAGAACTGTTTTCCATTCTATCCTCATCGCAAAGCCCTCTTGACGATGACGAAGTATTGAAGACTTTGCGCAAAAGACTAGGTCCCGGTGAGATTTGAACTCACGTCGCAGGATTCAGAGTCCTGAGTGCTAACCGCTACACCACGGGACCACCGATCGCATTCGCATCGCTGAGAACGGTTTTCCATTCTAACCTCATCGCAAAGCCCTCCTGACAATGACGAAGTATTAGAGACCTTGCGCAAAAGACTAGGTCCCGGTGAGATTTGAACTCACGTCGCAGGATTCAGAGTCCTGAGTGCTAACCGCTACACCACGGGACCACCGATCGCATTCGCATCGCTGAGAACTGTTTTCCATTCTGTCCTCATCGCAAAGCCCTCTTGACGATGACGAAGTATTGAAGACCTTGCGCAGGATCCAGAGGTCCTGAGTGCTAACCGCTACACCACGGGACCACCGATCGCATTCGCATCGCTGAGAACTGTTTTCCATTCTATCCTCATCGCAAAGCCCTCTTGACGATGACGAAGTATTGAAGACTTTGCGCAAAAGACTAGGTCCCGGTGAGATTTGAACTCACGTCGCAGGATTCAGAGTCCTGAGTGCTAACCGCTACACCACGGGACCACCGATCGCATTCGCATCGCTGAGAACTGTTTTCCATTCTATCCTCATCGCAAAGTCCTCTTGACGATGGCGAAGTATTGAAGACCTTGCGCAGGATCCAGAGTCCTGAGTGCTATCGCTACACCACGGGACCACCGATCGCATTCGCATCGCTGAGAACGGTTTTCCATTCTATCCTCATCGCAAAGCCCTCTTGACGATGACGAAGTATTGAAGACTTTGCGCAAAAGACTAGGTCCCGGTGAGATTTGAACTCACGTCGCAGGATTCAGAGTCCTGAGTGCTAACCGCTACACCACGGGACCACCGATCGCATTCGCATCGCTGAGAACGGTTTTCCGTTCTATCCTCATCGCAAAGCCCTCTTGACGATGACGAAGTATTGAAGACTTTGCGCAAAAGACTAGGTCCCTGTGAGATTTGAACTCACGTCGCAGGATTCAGAGTCCTGAGTGCTAACCGCTACACCACGGGACCGAACCGATCGCATTCGCATCGCTGAGAACTGTTTTCCATTCTATCCTCATCGCAAAGCCCTCTTGACGATGACGAAGTATTGAAGACCTTGCGCAGGATCCAGAGTCCTGAGTGCTAACCGCTACACCACGGGACCACCGATCGCATTCGCATCGCTGAGAACTGTTTTCCATTCTATCCTCATCGCAAAGCCCTCTTGACGATGACGAAGTATTGAAGACTTTGCGCAAAAGACTAGGTCCCGGTGAGATTTGAACTCACGTCGCAGGATTCAGAGTCCTGAGTGCTAACCGCTACACCACGGGACCACCGATCGCATTCGCATCGCTGAGAACGGTTTTCCATTCTAACCTCATCGCAAAGCCCTCCTGACAATGACGAAGTATTAGAGACCTTGCGCAAAAGACTAGGTCCCGGTGAGATTTGAACTCACGTCGCAGGATTCAGAGTCCTGAGTGCTAACCGCTACACCACGGGACCACCGATCGCATTCGCATCGCTGAGAACTGTTTTCCATTCTATCTTCATCGCAAAGCCCTCTTGACGATGACGAAGTATTGAAGACTTTGCGCAAAAGACTAGGTCCCGGTGAGATTTGAACTCACGTCGCAGGATTCAGAGTCCTGAGTGCTAACCGCTACACCACGGGACCACCGATCGCATTCGCATCGCTGAGAACGGTTTTCCATTCTAACCTCATCGCAAAGCCCTCCTGACAATGACGAAGTATTAGAGACCTTGCGCAGGATCCAGAGTCCTGAGTGCTAACCGCTACACCACGGGACCACCGATCGCATTCGCATCGCTGAGAACTGTTTTCCATTCTATCCTCATCGCAAAGCCCTCTTGACGATGACGAAGTATTGAAGACTTTGCGCAAAAGACTAGGTCCCGGTGAGATTTGAACTCACGTCGCAGGATTCAGAGTCCTGAGTGCTAACCGCTACACCACGGGACCACCGATCGCATTCGCATCGCTGAGAACGGTTTTCCATTCTAACCTCATCGCAAAGCCCTCCTGACAATGACGAAGTATTAGAGACCTTGCGCAAAAGACTAGGTCCCGGTGAGATTTGAACTCACGTCGCAGGATTCAGAGTCCTGAGTGCTAACCGCTACACCACGGGACCACCGATCGCATTCGCATCGCTGAGAACTGTTTTCCATTCTATCCTCATCGCAAAGCCCTCTTGACGATGACGAAGTATTGAAGACTTTGCGCAAAAGACTAGGTCCCGGTGAGATTTGAACTCACGTCGCAGGATTCAGAGTCCTGAGTGCTAACCGCTACACCACGGGACCACCGATCGCATTCGCATCGCTGAGAACGGTTTTCCATTCAAACCTCATCGCAAAGCCCTCCTGACAATGACGAAGTATTAGAGACCTTGCGCAAAAGACTAGGTCCCGGTGAGATTTGAACTCAAGTCGCAGGATTCAGAGTCCTGAGTGCTAACCGCTACACCACGGGACCACCGATCGCATTCGCATCGCTGAGAACTGTTTTCCATTCTATCCTCATCGCAAAGCCCTCTTGACGATGGCGAAGTATTGAAGACCTTGCGCAGGATCCAGAGTCCTGAGTGCTAACCGCTACACCACGGGACCACCGATCGCATTCGCATCGCTGAGAACTGTTTTCCATTCTATCCTCATCGCAAAGCCCTCTTGACAATGACGAAGTATTAAAGACTTTGCGCAAAAGACTAGGTCCCGGTGAGATTTGAACTCACGTCGCAGGATTCAGAGTCCTGAGTGCTAACCGCTACACCACGGGACCACCGATCGCATTCGCATCGCTGAGAACTGTTTTCCATTCTGTCCTCATCGCAAAGCCCTCTTGACGATGACGAAGTATTGAAGACCTTGCGCTAACCGCTACACCACGGGACCACCGATCGCATTCGCATCGCTGAGAACTGTTTTCCATTCTATCCTCATCGCAAAGCCCTCTTGACGATGACGAAATATTGAAGACTTTGCGCAAAAGACTAGGTCCCGGTGAGATTTGAACTCACGTCGCAGGATTCAGAGTCCTGAGTGCTAACCGCTACACCACGGGACCACCGATCGCATTCGCATCGCTGAGAACAGTTTTCCATTCTATCCTCATCGCAAAGCCCTCTTGACGATGGCGAAGTATTGAAGACCTTGCGCAGGATCCAGAGTCCTGAGTGCTAACCGCTACACCACGGGACCACCGATCGCATTCGCATCGCTGAGAACGGTTTTCCATTCTATCCTCATCGCAAAGCCCTCTTGACGATGACGAAGTATTGAAGACTTTGCGCAAAAGACTAGGTCCCTGTGAGATTTGAACTCACGTCGCAGGATTCAGAGTCCTGAGTGCTAACCGCTACACCACGGGACCACCGATCGCATTCGCATCGCTGAGAACGGTTTTCCATTCTAACCTCATCGCAAAGCCCTCCTGACAATGACGAAGTATTAGAGACCTTGCGCAAAAGACTAGGTCCCGGTGAGATTTGAACTCACGTCGCAGGATTCAGAGTCCTGAGTGCTAACCGCTACACCACGGGACCACCGATCGCATTCGCATCGCTGAGAACTGTTTTCCATTCTGTCCTCATCGCAAAGCCCTCTTGACGATGACGAAGTATTGAAGACCTTGCGCAGGATCCAGAGGTCCTGAGTGCTAACCGCTACACCACGGGACCACCGATCGCATTCGCATCGCTGAGAACTGTTTTCCATTCTATCCTCATCGCAAAGCCCTCTTGACGATGACGAAGTATTGAAGACTTTGCGCAAAAGACTAGGTCCCGGTGAGATTTGAACTCACGTCGCAGGATTCAGAGTCCTGAGTGCTAACCGCTACACCACGGGACCACCGATCGCATTCGCATCGCTGAGAACTGTTTTCCATTCTATCCTCATCGCAAAGTCCTCTTGACGATGGCGAAGTATTGAAGACCTTGCGCAGGATCCAGAGTCCTGAGTGCTATCGCTACACCACGGGACCACCGATCGCATTCGCATCGCTGAGAACGGTTTTCCATTCTATCCTCATCGCAAAGCCCTCTTGACGATGACGAAGTATTGAAGACTTTGCGCAAAAGACTAGGTCCCGGTGAGATTTGAACTCACGTCGCAGGATTCAGAGTCCTGAGTGCTAACCGCTACACCACGGGACCACCGATCGCATTCGCATCGCTGAGAACGGTTTTCCGTTCTATCCTCATCGCAAAGCCCTCTTGACGATGACGAAGTATTGAAGACTTTGCGCAAAAGACTAGGTCCCTGTGAGATTTGAACTCACGTCGCAGGATTCAGAGTCCTGAGTGCTAACCGCTACACCACGGGACCGAACCGATCGCATTCGCATCGCTGAGAACTGTTTTCCATTCTATCCTCATCGCAAAGCCCTCTTGACGATGACGAAGTATTGAAGACCTTGCGCAGGATCCAGAGTCCTGAGTGCTAACCGCTACACCACGGGACCACCGATCGCATTCGCATCGCTGAGAACTGTTTTCCATTCTATCCTCATCGCAAAGCCCTCTTGACGATGACGAAGTATTGAAGACTTTGCGCAAAAGACTAGGTCCCGGTGAGATTTGAACTCACGTCGCAGGATTCAGAGTCCTGAGTGCTAACCGCTACACCACGGGACCACCGATCGCATTCGCATCGCTGAGAACGGTTTTCCATTCTAACCTCATCGCAAAGCCCTCCTGACAATGACGAAGTATTAGAGACCTTGCGCAAAAGACTAGGTCCCGGTGAGATTTGAACTCAGGTCGCAGGATTCAGAGTCCTGAGTGCTAACCGCTACACCACGGGACCACCGATCGCATTCGCATCGCTGAGAACTGTTTTCCATTCTATCCTCATCGCAAAGCCCTCTTGACGATGACGAAGTATTGAAGACTTTGCGCAAAAGACTAGGTCCCGGTGAGATTTGAACTCACGTCGCAGGATTCAGAGTCCTGAGTGCTAACCGCTACACCACGGGACCACCGATCGCATTCGCATCGCTGAGAACGGTTTTCCATTCTAACCTCATCGCAAAGCCCTCCTGACAATGACGAAGTATTAGAGACCTTGCGCAAAAGACTAGGTCCCGGTGAGATTTGAACTCACGTCGCAGGATTCAGAGTCCTGAGTGCTAACCGCTACACCACGGGACCACCGATCGCATTCGCATCGCTGAGAACTGTTTTCCATTCTATCCTCATCGCAAAGCCCTCTTGACGATGGCGAAGTATTGAAGACCTTGCGCAGGATCCAGAGTCCTGAGTGCTAACCGCTACACCACGGGACCACCGATCGCATTCGCATCGCTGAGAACTGTTTTCCATTCTATCCTCATCGCAAAGCCCTCTTGACAATGACGAAGTATTAAAGACTTTGCGCAAAAGACTAGGTCCCGGTGAGATTTGAACTCACGTCGCAGGATTCAGAGTCCTGAGTGCTAACCGCTACACCACGGGACCACCGATCGCATTCGCATCGCTGAGAACTGTTTTCCATTCTGTCCTCATCGCAAAGCCCTCTTGACGATGACGAAGTATTGAAGACCTTGCGCTAACCGCTACACCACGGGACCACCGATCGCATTCGCATCGCTGAGAACTGTTTTCCATTCTATCCTCATCGCAAAGCCCTCTTGACGATGACGAAATATTGAAGACTTTGCGCAAAAGACTAGGTCCCGGTGAGATTTGAACTCACGTCGCAGGATTCAGAGTCCTGAGTGCTAACCGCTACACCACGGGACCACCGATCGCATTCGCATCGCTGAGAACAGTTTTCCATTCTATCCTCATCGCAAAGCCCTCTTGACGATGGCGAAGTATTGAAGACCTTGCGCAGGATCCAGAGTCCTGAGTGCTAACCGCTACACCACGGGACCACCGATCGCATTCGCATCGCTGAGAACGGTTTTCCATTCTATCCTCATCGCAAAGCCCTCTTGACGATGACGAAGTATTGAAGACTTTGCGCAAAAGACTAGGTCCCTGTGAGATTTGAACTCACGTCGCAGGATTCAGAGTCCTGAGTGCTAACCGCTACACCACGGGACCACCGATCGCATTCGCATCGCTGAGAACAGTTTTCCATTCTATCCTCATCGCAAAGCCCTCTTGACGATGGCGAAGTATTGAAGACCTTGCGCAGGATCCAGAGTCCTGAGTGCTAACCGCTACACCACGGGACCACCGATCGCATTCGCATCGCTGAGAACGGTTTTCCATTCTATCCTCATCGCAAAGCCCTCTTGACGATGGCGAAGTATTGAAGACCTTGCGCAGGATCCAGAGTCCTGAGTGCTAACCGCTACACCACGGGACCACCGATCGCATTCGCATCGCTGAGAACTGTTTTCCATTCTATCCTCATCGCAAAGCCCTCTTGACGATGACGAAGTATTGAAGACCTTGCGCAGGATCCAGAGTCCTGAGTGCTAACCGCTACACCACGGGACCACCGATCGCATTCGCATCGCTGAGAACTGTTTTCCATTCTATCCTCATCGCAAAGCCCTCTTGACGATGACGAAGTATTGAAGACTTTGCGCAAAAGACTAGGTCCCGGTGAGATTTGAACTCACGTCGCAGGATTCAGAGTCCTGAGTGCTAACCGCTACACCACGGGACCACCGATCGCATTCGCATCGCTGAGAACGGTTTTCCATTCTAACCTCATCGCAAAGCCCTCCTGACAATGACGAAGTATTAGAGACCTTGCGCAAAAGACTAGGTCCCGGTGAGATTTGAACTCACGTCGCAGGATTCAGAGTCCTGAGTGCTAACCGATACACCACGGGACCACCGATCGCATTCGCATCGCTGAGAACTGTTTTCCATTCTATCCTCATCGCAAAGCCCTCTTGACGATGACGAAGTATTGAAGACTTTGCGCAAAAGACTAGGTCCCGGTGAGATTTGAACTCACGTCGCAGGATTCAGAGTCCTGAGTGCTAACCGCTACACCACGGGACCACCGATCGCATTCGCATCGCTGAGAACGGTTTTCCATTCTAACCTCATCGCAAAGCCCTCCTGACAATGACGAAGTATTAGAGACCTTGCGCAAAAGACTAGGTCCCGGTGAGATTTGAACTCACGTCGCAGGATTCAGAGTCCTGAGTGCTAACCGCTACACCACGGGACCACCGATCGCATTCGCATCGCTGAGAACTGTTTTCCATTCTATCCTCATCGCAAAGCCCTCTTGACGATGGCGAAGTATTGAAGACCTTGCGCAGGATTCAGAGTCCTGAGTGCTAACCGCTACACCACGGGACCACCGATCGCATTCGCATCGCTGAGAACTGTTTTCCATTCTATCCTCATCGCAAAGCCCTCTTGACAATGACGAAGTATTAAAGACTTTGCGCAAAAGACTAGGTCCCGGTGAGATTTGAACTCACGTCGCAGGATTCAGAGTCCTGAGTGCTAACCGCTACACCACGGGACCACCGATCGCATTCGCATCGCTGAGAACTGTTTTCCATTCTGTCCTCATCGCAAAGCCCTCTTGACGATGACGAAGTATTGAAGACCTTGCGCTAACCGCTACACCACGGGACCACCGATCGCATTCGCATCGCTGAGAACTGTTTTCCATTCTATCCTCATCGCAAAGCCCTCTTGACGATGACGAAATATTGAAGACTTTGCGCAAAAGACTAGGTCCCGGTGAGATTTGAACTCACGTCGCAGGATTCAGAGTCCTGAGTGCTAACCGCTACACCACGGGACCACCGATCGCATTCGCATCGCTGAGAACAGTTTTCCATTCTATCCTCATCGCAAAGCCCTCTTGACGATGGCGAAGTATTGAAGACCTTGCGCAGGATCCAGAGTCCTGAGTGCTAACCGCTACACCACGGGACCACCGATCGCATTCGCATCGCTGAGAACGGTTTTCCATTCTATCCTCATCGCAAAGCCCTCTTGACGATGACGAAGTATTGAAGACTTTGCGCAAAAGACTAGGTCCCTGTGAGATTTGAACTCACGTCGCAGGATTCAGAGTCCTGAGTGCTAACCGCTACACCACGGGACCACCGATCGCATTCGCATCGCTGAGAACGGTTTTCCATTCTATCCTCATCGCAAAGCCCTCTTGACGATGACGAAGTATTGAAGACTTTGCGCAAAAGACTAGGTCCCTGTGAGATTTGAACTCACGTCGCAGGATTCAGAGTCCTGAGTGCTAACCGCTACACCACGGGACCACCGATCGCATTCGCATCGCTGAGAACTGTTTTCCATTCTGTCCTCATCGCAAAGCCCTCTTGACGATGACGTAGTATTGAAGACCTTGCGCAGGATCCAGAGTCCTGAGTGCTAACCGCTACACCACGGGACCACCGATCGCATTCGCATCGCTGAGAACTGTTTTCCATTCTATCCTCATCGCAAAGCCCTCTTGACGATGACGAAATATTGAAGACTTTGCGCAAAAGACTAGGTCCCGGTGAGATTTGAACTCACGTCGCAGGATTCAGAGTCCTGAGTGCTAACCGCTACACCACGGGACCACCGATCGCATTCGCATCGCTGAGAACAGTTTTCCATTCTATCCTCATCGCAAAGCCCTCTTGACGATGGCGAAGTATTGAAGACCTTGCGCAGGATCCAGAGTCCTGAGTGCTAACCGCTACACCACGGGACCACCGATCGCATTCGCATCGCTGAGAACGGTTTTCCATTCTATCCTCATCGCAAAGCCCTCTTGACGATGACGAAGTATTGAAGACTTTGCGCAAAAGACTAGGTCCCTGTGAGATTTGAACTCACGTCGCAGGATTCAGAGTCCTGAGTGCTAACCGCTACACCACGGGACCACCGATCGCATTCGCATCGCTGAGAACGGTTTTCCATTCTATCCTCAGCGCAAAGCCCTCTTGACGATGACGAAGTATTGAAGACTTTGCGCAAAAGACTAGGTCCCTGTGAGATTTGAACTCACGTCGCAGGATTCAGAGTCCTGAGTGCTAACCGCTACACCACGGGATCACCGATCGCATTCGCATCGCTGAGAACTGTTTTCCATTCTATCCTCATCGCAAAGCCCTCTTGACGATGACGAAGTATTGAAGACTTTGCGCAAAAGACTAGGTCCCGGTGAGATTTGAACTCACGTCGCAGGATTCAGAGTCCTGAGTGCTAACCGCCACACCACGGGACCACCGATCGCATTCGCATCGCTGAGAACGGTTTTCCATTCTATCCTCATCGCAAAGCCCTCCTGAAAATGACGAAGTATTGGAGACCTTGCGCAGGATACAGAGTCCTGAGTGCTAACCGCTACACCACGGGACCACCGATCGCATTCGCATCGCTGAGAACTGTTTTCCATTCTATCCTCATCGCAAAGCCCTCTTGACGATGGCGAAGTATTGAAGACCTTGCGCAGGATCCAGAGTCCTGAGTGCTAACCGCTACACCACGGGACCACCGATCGCATTCGCATCGCTGAGAACTGTTTTCCATTCTATCCTCATCGCAAAGCCCTCTTGACAATGACGAAGTATTAAAGACTTTGCGCAAAAGACTAGGTCCCGGTGAGATTTGAACTCACGTCGCAGGATTCAGAGTCCTGAGTGCTAACCGCTACACCACGGGACCACCGATCGCATTCGCATCGCTGAGAACGGTTTTCCATTCTATCCTCATCGCAAAGCCCTCTTGACGATGACGAAGTATTGAAGACTTTGCGCAAAAGACTAGGTCCCTGTGAGATTTGAACTCACGTCGCAGGATTCAGAGTCCTGAGTGCTAACCGCTACACCACGGGACCACCGATCGCATTCGCATCGCTGAGAACAGTTTTCCATTCTATCCTCATCGCAAAGCCCTCTTGACGATGGCGAAGTATTGAAGACCTTGCGCAGGATCCAGAGTCCTGAGTGCTAACCGCTACACCACGGGACCACCGATCGCATTCGCATCGCTGAGAACGGTTTTCCATTCTATCCTCATCGCAAAGCCCTCTTGACGATGACGAAGTATTAGAGACCTTGCGCAAAAGACTAGGTCCCTGTGAGATTTGAACTCACGTCGCAGGATTCAGAGTCCTGAGTGCTAACCGCTACACCACGGGACCACCGATCGCATTCGCATCGCTGAGAACTGTTTTCCATTCTATCCTCATCGCAAAGCCCTCTTGACGATGACGAAGTATTGAAGACTTTGCGCAAAAGACTAGGTCCCTGTGAGATTTGAACTCACGTCGCAGGATTCAGAGTCCTGAGTGCTAACCGCTACACCACGGGACCACCGATCGCATTCGCATCGCTGAGAACTGTTTTCCATTCTATCCTCATCGCAAAGCCCTCTTGACGATGACGAAGTATTGAAGACTTTGCGCAAAAGACTAGGTCCCGGTGAGATTTGAACTCACGTCGCAGGATTCAGAGTCCTGAGTGCTAACCGCTACACCACGGGACCACCGATCGCATTCGCATCGCTGAGAACGGTTTTCCATTCTAACCTCATCGCAAAGCCCTCCTGACAATGACGAAGTATTAGAGACCTTGCGCAAAAGACTAGGTCCCGGTGAGATTTGAACTCACGTCGCAGGATTCAGAGTCCTGAGTGCTAACCGCTACACCACGGGACCACCGATCGCATTCGCATCGCTGAGAACTGTTTTCCATTCTATCCTCATCGCAAAGCCCTCTTGACGATGGCGAAGTATTGAAGACCTTGCGCAGGATCCAGAGTCCTGAGTGCTAACCGCTACACCACGGGACCACCAATCGCATTCGCATCGCTGAGAACGGTTTTCCATTCTAACCTCATCGCAAAGCCCTCCTGACAATGACGAAGTATTAGAGACCTTGCGCAAAAGACTAGGTCCCGGTGAGATTTGAACTCACGTCGCAGGATTCAGAGTCCTGAGTGCTAACCGCTACACCACGGGACCACCGATCGCATTCGCATCGCTGAGAACAGTTTTCCATTCTATCCTCATCGCAAAGCCCTCTTGACGATGGCGAAGTATTGAAGACCTTGCGCAGGATCCAGAGTCCTGAGTGCTAACCGCTACACCACGGGACCACCGATCGCATTCGCATCGCTGAGAACGGTTTTCCATTCTATCCTCATCGCAAAGCCCTCTTGACGATGACGAAGTATTAGAGACCTTGCGCAAAAGACTAGGTCCCGGTGAGATTTGAACTCACGTCGCAGGATTCAGAGTCCTGAGTGCTAACCGCTACACCACGGGACCACCGATCGCATTCGCATCGCTGAGAACTGTTTTCCATTCTATCCTCATCGCAAAGCCCTCTTGACGATGACGAAGTATTGAAGACTTTGCGCAAAAGACTAGGTCCCGGTGAGATTTGAACTCACGTCGCAGGATTCAGAGTCCTGAGTGCTAACCGCTACACCACGGGACCACCGATCGCATTCGCATCGCTGAGAACGGTTTTCCATTCTAACCTCATCGCAAAGCCCTCCTGACAATGACGAAGTATTAGAGACCTTGCGCAAAAGACTAGGTCCCGGTGAGATTTGAACTCACGTCGCAGGATTCAGAGTCCTGAGTGCTAACCGCTACACCACGGGACCACCGATCGCATTCGCATCGCTGAGAACTGTTTTCCATTCTATCCTCATCGCAAAGCCCTCTTGACGATGGCGAAGTATTGAAGACCTTGCGCAGGATCCAGAGTCCTGAGTGCTAACCGCTACACCACGGGACCACCGATCGCATTCGCATCGCTGAGAACGGTTTTCCATTCTATCCTCATCGCAAAGCCCTCCTGAAAATGACGAAGTATTGGAGACCTTGCGCAGGATCCAGAGTCCTGAGTGCTAACCGCTACACCACGGGACCACCGATCGCATTCGCATCGCTGAGAACTGTTTTCCATTCTATCCTCATCGCAAAGCCCTCTTGACGATGACGAAGTATTGAAGACTTTGCGCAAAAGACTAGGTCCCGGTGAGATTTGAACTCACGTCGCAGGATTCAGAGTCCTGAGTGCTAACCGCTACACCACGGGACCACCGATCGCATTCGCATCGCTGAGAACGGTTTTCCATTCTATCCTCATCGCAAAGCCCTCCTGAAAATGACGAAGTATTGGAGACCTTGCGCAGGATCCAGAGTCCTGAGTGCTAACCGCTACACCACGGGACCACCGATCGCATTCGCATCGCTGAGAACTGTTTTCCATTCTATCCTCATCGCAAAGCCCTCTTGACGATGACGAAGTATTGAAGACTTTGCGCAAAAGACTAGGTCCCGGTGAGATTTGAACTCACGTCGCAGGATTCAGAGTCCTGAGTGCTAACCGCTACACCACGGGACCACCGATCGCATTCGCATCGCTGAGAACTGTTTTCCATTTTATCCTGATCGCAAAGCCCTCTTGACGATGGCGAAGTATTGAAGACTTTGCGCAGGATCCAGAGTCCTGAGTGCTAACCGCTACACCACGGGACCACCGATCGCATTCGCATCGCTGAGAACGGTTTTCCATTCTATCCTCATCGCAAAGCCCTCCTGAAAATGACGAAGTATTGGAGACCTTGCGCAGGATACAGAGTCCTGAGTGCTAACCGCTACACCACGGGACCACCGATCGCATTCGCATCGCTGAGAACTGTTTTCCATTCTATCCTCATCGCAAAGCCCTCTTGACGATGACGAAGTATTGAGGACCTTGCGCAGGATCCAGAGTCCTGAGTGCTAACCGCTACACCACGGGACCACCGATCGCATTCGCATCGCTGAGAACGGTTTTCCATTCTATCCTCATCGCAAAGCCCTCTTGACGATGACGAAGTATTGAAGACTTTGCGCAAAAGACTAGGTCCCTGTGAGATTTGAACTCACGTCGCAGGATTCAGAGTCCTGAGTGCTAACCGCTACACCACGGGACCACCGATCGCATTCGCATCGCTGAGAACGGTTTTCCATTCTAACCTCATCGCAAAGCCCTCCTGACAATGACGAAGTATTAGAGACCTTGCGCAAAAGACTAGGTCCCGGTGAGATTTGAACTCACGTCGCAGGATTCAGAGTCCTGAGTGCTAACCGCTACACCACGGGACCACCGATCGCATTCGCATCGCTGAGAACTGTTTTCCATTCTATCCTCATCGCAAAGCCCTCTTGACGATGGCGAAGTATTGAAGACCTTGCGCAGGATCCAGAGTCCTGAGTGCTAACCGCTACACCACGGGACCACCGATCGCATTCGCATCGCTGAGAACTGTTTTCCATTCTATCCTCATCGCAAAGCCCTCCTGACAATGACGAAGTATTAGAGACCTTGCGCAAAAGACTAGGTCCCGGTGAGATTTGAACTCACGTCGCAGGATTCAGAGTCCTGAGTGCTAACCGCTACACCACGGGACCACCGATCGCATTCGCATCGCTGAGAACTGTTTTCCATTCTGTCCTCATCGCAAAGCCCTCTTGACGATGACGAAGTATTGAAGACCTTGCGCAGGATCCAGAGTCCTGAGTGCTAACCGCTACACCACGGGACCACCGATCGCATTCGCATCGCTGAGAACGGTTTTCCATTCTATCCTCATCGCAAAGCCCTCTTGACGATGACGAAGTATTGAAGACTTTGCGCAAAAGACTAGGTCCCTGTGAGATTTGAACTCACGTCGCAGGATTCAGAGTCCTGAGTGCTAACCGCTACACCACGGGACCACCGATCGCATTCGCATCGCTGAGAACTGTTTTCCATTCTATCCTCATCGCAAAGCCCTCTTGACGATGACGAAGTATTGAAGACTTTGCGCAAAAGACTAGGTCCCGGTGAGATTTGAACTCACGTCGCAGGATTCAGAGTCCTGAGTGCTAACCGCTACACCACGGGACCACCGATCGCATTCGCATCGCTGAGAACGGTTTTCCATTCTAACCTCATCGCAAAGCCCTCCTGACAATGACGAAGTATTAGAGACCTTGCGCAAAAGACTAGGTCCCGGTGAGATTTGAACTCACGTCGCAGGATTCAGAGTCCTGAGTGCTAACCGCTACACCACGGGACCACCGATCGCATTCGCATCGCTGAGAACGGTTTTCCATTCTAACCTCATCGCAAAGCCCTCCTGACAATGACGAAGTATTAGAGACCTTGCGCAAAAGACTAGGTCCCGGTGAGATTTGAACTCACGTCGCAGGATTCAGAGTCCTGAGTGCTAACCGCTACACCACGGGACCACCGATCGCATTCGCATCGCTGAGAACTGTTTTCCATTCTATCCTCATCGCAAAGCCCTCTTGACGATGGCGAAGTATTGAAGACCTTGCGCAGGATCCAGAGTCCTGAGTGCTAACCGCTACACCACGGGACCACCGATCGCATTCGCATCGCTGAGAACGGTTTTCCATTCTATCCTCATCGCAAAGCCCTCCTGAAAATGACGAAGTATTGGAGACCTTGCGCAGGATCCAGAGTCCTGAGTGCTAACCGCTACACCACGGGACCACCGATCGCATTCGCATCGCTGAGAACTGTTTTCCATTCTATCCTCATCGCAAAGCCCTCTTGACGATGACGAAGTATTGAAGACTTTGCGCAAAAGACTAGGTCCCGGTGAGATTTGAACTCACGTCGCAGGATTCAGAGTCCTGAGTGCTAACCGCTACACCACGGGACCACCGATCGCATTCGCATCGCTGAGAACTGTTTTCCATTCTATCCTCATCGCAAAGCCCTCTTGACGATGGCGAAGTATTGAAGACCTTGCGCAGGATCCAGAGTCCTGAGTGCTAACCGCTACACCACGGGACCACCGATCGCATTCGCATCGCTGAGAACTGTTTTCCATTCTATCCTCATCGCAAAGCCCTCCTGACAATGACGAAGTATTAGAGACCTTGCGCAAAAGACTAGGTCCCGGTGAGATTTGAACTCACGTCGCAGGATTCAGAGTCCTGAGTGCTAACCGCTACACCACGGGACCACCGATCGCATTCGCATCGCTGAGAACTGTTTTCCATTCTGTCCTCATCGCAAAGCCCTCTTGACGATGACGAAGTATTGAAGACCTTGCGCAGGATCCAGAGTCCTGAGTGCTAACCGCTACACCACGGGACCACCGATCGCATTCGCATCGCTGAGAACTGTTTTCCATTCTATCCTCATCGCAAAGCCCTCTTGACGATGACGAAATATTGAAGACTTTGCGCAAAAGACTAGGTCCCGGTGAGATTTGAACTCACGTCGCAGGATTCAGAGTCCTGAGTGCTAACCGCTACACCACGGGACCACCGATCGCATTCGCATCGCTGAGAACAGTTTTCCATTCTATCCTCATCGCAAAGCCCTCTTGACGATGGCGAAGTATTGAAGACCTTGCGCAGGATCCAGAGTCCTGAGTGCTAACCGCTACACCACGGGACCACCGATCGCATTCGCATCGCTGAGAACGGTTTTCCATTCTATCCTCATCGCAAAGCCCTCTTGACGATGACGAAGTATTGAAGACTTTGCGCAAAAGACTAGGTCCCTGTGAGATTTGAACTCACGTCGCAGGATTCAGAGTCCTGAGTGCTAACCGCTACACCACGGGACCACCGATCGCATTCGCATCGCTGAGAACTGTTTTCCATTCTATCCTCATCGCAAAGCCCTCTTGACGATGACGAAGTATTGAAGACTTTGCGCAAAAGACTAGGTCCCGGTGAGATTTGAACTCACGTCGCAGGATTCAGAGTCCTGAGTGCTAACCGCTACACCACGGGACCACCGATCGCATTCGCATCGCTGAGAACGGTTTTCCATTCTAACCTCATCGCAAAGCCCTCCTGACAATGACGAAGTATTAGAGACCTTGCGCAAAAGACTAGGTCCCGGTGAGATTTGAACTCACGTCGCAGGATTCAGAGTCCTGAGTGCTAACCGCTACACCACGGGACCACCGATCGCATTCGCATCGCTGAGAACGGTTTTCCATTCTAACCTCATCGCAAAGCCCTCCTGACAATGACGAAGTATTAGAGACCTTGCGCAAAAGACTAGGTCCCGGTGAGATTTGAACTCACGTCGCAGGATTCAGAGTCCTGAGTGCTAACCGCTACACCACGGGACCACCGATCGCATTCGCATCGCTGAGAACTGTTTTCCATTCTATCCTCATCGCAAAGCCCTCTTGACGATGGCGAAGTATTGAAGACCTTGCGCAGGATCCAGAGTCCTGAGTGCTAACCGCTACACCACGGGACCACCGATCGCATTCGCATCGCTGAGAACGGTTTTCCATTCTATCCTCATCGCAAAGCCCTCCTGAAAATGACGAAGTATTGGAGACCTTGCGCAGGATCCAGAGTCCTGAGTGCTAACCGCTACACCACGGGACCACCGATCGCATTCGCATCGCTGAGAACTGTTTTCCATTCTATCCTCATCGCAAAGCCCTCTTGACGATGACGAAGTATTGAAGACTTTGCGCAAAAGACTAGGTCCCGGTGAGATTTGAACTCACGTCGCAGGATTCAGAGTCCTGAGTGCTAACCGCTACACCACGGGACCACCGATCGCATTCGCATCGCTGAGAACGGTTTTCCATTCTAACCTCATCGCAAAGCCCTCCTGACAATGACGAAGTATTAGAGACCTTGCGCAAAAGACTAGGTCCCGGTGAGATTTGAACTCACGTCGCAGGATTCAGAGTCCTGAGTGCTAACCGCTACACCACGGGACCACCGATCGCATTCGCATCGCTGAGAACGGTTTTCCATTCTATCCTCATCGCAAAGCCCTCCTGAAAATGACGAAGTATTGGAGACCTTGCGCAGGATACAGAGTCCTGAGTGCTAACCGCTACACCACGGGACCACCGATCGCATTCGCATCGCTGAGAACTGTTTTCCATTCTATCCTCATCGCAAAGCCCTCTTGACGATGACGAAGTATTGAGGACCTTGCGCAGGATCCAGAGTCCTGAGTGCTAACCGCTACACCACGGGACCACCGATCGCATTCGCATCGCTGAGAACGGTTTTCCATTCTATCCTCATCGCAAAGCCCTCTTGACGATGACGAAGTATTGAAGACTTTGCGCAAAAGACTAGGTCCCTGTGAGATTTGAACTCACGTCGCAGGATTCAGAGTCCTGAGTGCTAACCGCTACACCACGGGGCCACCGATCGCATTCGCATCGCTGAGAACGGTTTTCCATTCTAACCTCATCGCAAAGCCCTCCTGACAATGACGAAGTATTAGAGACCTTGCGCAAAAGACTAGGTCCCGGTGAGATTTGAACTCACGTCGCAGGATTCAGAGTCCTGAGTGCTAACCGCTACACCACGGGACCACCGATCGCATTCGCATCGCTGAGAACTGTTTTCCATTCTATCCTCATCGCAAAGCCCTCTTGACGATGGCGAAGTATTGAAGACCTTGCGCAGGATCCAGAGTCCTGAGTGCTAACCGCTACACCACGGGACCACCGATCGCATTCGCATCGCTGAGAACTGTTTTCCATTCTATCCTCATCGCAAAGCCCTCCTGACAATGACGAAGTATTAGAGACCTTGCGCAAAAGACTAGGTCCCGGTGAGATTTGAACTCACGTCGCAGGATTCAGAGTCCTGAGTGCTAACCGCTACACCACGGGACCACCGATCGCATTCGCATCGCTGAGAACTGTTTTCCATTCTGTCCTCATCGCAAAGCCCTCTTGACGATGACGAAGTATTGAAGACCTTGCGCAGGATCCAGAGTCCTGAGTGCTAACCGCTACACCACGGGATCACCGATCGCATTCGCATCGCTGAGAACGGTTTTCCATTCTAACCTCATCGCAAAGCCCTCCTGACAATGACGAAGTATTAGAGACCTTGCGCAAAAGACTAGGTCCCGGTGAGATTTGAACTCACGTCGCAGGATTCAGAGTCCTGAGTGCTAACCGCTACACCACGGGACCACCGATCGCATTCGCATCGCTGAGAACGGTTTTCCATTCTATCCTCATCGCAAAGCCCTCCTGAAAATGACGAAGTATTGGAGACCTTGCGCAGGATACAGAGTCCTGAGTGCTAACCGCTACACCACGGGACCACCGATCGCATTCGCATCGCTGAGAACTGTTTTCCATTCTATCCTCATCGCAAAGCCCTCTTGACGATGACGAAGTATTGAGGACCTTGCGCAGGATCCAGAGTCCTGAGTGCTAACCGCTACACCACGGGACCACCGATCGCATTCGCATCGCTGAGAACTGTTTTCCATTCTATCCTCATCGCAAAGCCCTCTTGACGATGACGAAGTATTGAAGACCTTGCGCAAAAGACTAGGTCCCGGTGAGATTTGAACTCACGTCGCAGGATTCAGAGTCCTGAGTGCTAACCGCTACACCACGAGACCGAACCGATCGCATTCGCATCGCTGAGAACGGTTTTCCATTCTATCCTCATCGCAAAGCCCTCCTGAAAATGACGAAGTATTGGAGACCTTGCGCAGGATACAGAGTCCTGAGTGCTAACCGCTACACCACGGGACCACCGATCGCATTCGCATCGCTGAGAAGTAAAGCGAGCATACTGATTACGAATGCAATATTTGTTTCTGAAATTGTCTATTACTTTTATTGATTTTTATCGATTTCTTGCAAAGTTTGAGCTACGGGGCTGGAAGTTGGGACAGGGGAATATGTGGGCATGCTGATTACGAAAACAAAATGGGAATAGGAAATTGGCATGTAGAAGTGGAGGGGAAGGTAGTGCAGGAATAAGGATGGGACCTCATCATAGCGTTTCGATAGGGCCTGGCGGATCCGGGTAAGCTAGCCAGTCTTATGAACGTTACTTATATCATTCAGAAACCACTTTCTCTAGCTTCTGTTTGCGAAAAGTTTTTTATTCTGTGGTTATCGCACATAAAAATGGACAACAAATTTGTCTTTCTTACCTCACTTTGATGAGTCTGCGGGCAAGGAGCGATTTATTCGAAAACATGCGTAGTGTTTGCTAGAGACTTGTGGCAAAATGCTTATGGGACAGGGCTCAGCACAGCTGGCACCTGGTCAAGCTGGATATCGTTTTTAGGGCGGAAAGCAAAGGGGTTATCATTTCTACAGGGGCCGAGGCGGAGAACTGCCGCAAAAATGCCGCCGGCATGCCACCGGCATGCCATTGGCAAGCTGTCCATCAACAAACAAAGGCGTTGTTTTCAGCCAAAACGCAATAGTATGACACCAAATTTGGTGTGTGCATGCGCGTTGGTGGACCGGAACTATGAGCCAAAAATTTATGAAAACTTATGTGAATGAAAGCTGTGCCCAACTTTTTTCTGAATTAGCTGGCACCGTGCCAGCTGGGTGCCAGCTGAGCTGGCACCGACACTTTGCTCACATAAGTTTTCATACTTTTTTAATAAAATGTATCTACACTGTAAAAGATTACATACGGAGAAGAAACAGTTTCATAATGTTCTCTTTTCAGCGTTTTATAGCAATTTGAAAACCACTCGGTCCGCTCCGCAGTTAAAAAATCGGCTTTTTCTGCTTCTCAAGATGTGATTCGACCACTTAAAAAGCTCAGAAAGCTGTGAAAAGTTCTTTCATGAAATCAGAAATGCATGAAAACACTGCTACATTTTTTACATAATATAAAAATAATGACGGGTTTTCAAAACAGGTCAAAAGGGACTTCGTACGAAATTTTCAATATCATACGGGACTTCGTTTTAAAATTTCCCTGGTGCCAGCTCGTGCCGAGCCCTGTTATGGGATGTGATTCTTAATAAAACTTGATCTTAGGAATGTAAACTCAAACGTGGCTGTAATCCTAATGCGTAGCATCGAAGTCATAAAGCGCAATGCGGTTGCGCATCTTTCGCTCTTAGCGGAATGAACCTAGAACATTCAATGTTCCAAAAGCGAGGGATTTTCCTTAGTTCTAGGCGGCGGAAAGTATGAAAAATTCAAAAACTGTACTTTCTGCCACCTTAGAGTTACGAAAATAATTGCCGTTTTAGTTTTTGCAGAATCTTTTTGTGAAAAAATCCACTTGCTCAGACTTACTGCATTACAGGTTGAGCCATTATTTATTGAAAATGGGTTTAGAAGGAAAATGTTAGGCGATCTTAATCTGAGAAATCTTCGTTTATCGTTGCAATGGAAGTAAGGGTAACTTGGTCTCCTCTCTGAGATTATTTCCTAAAAGTGCTATGTTGACTTGAAGCTGACAGGCGAAGCGTCTTTAGTGGAAGTGGCCTTTTTAAAGGAATCCTATAATATTTTGAAGAGTATTGAACGCTGATTCCAAATCTGTTTTCGATATCTGCCAAGCGCCCCTGGTCGCCGAGTTATGAGTGTTTTTGTAGCAAAAAATGAACGCACAATTTATGTAGAAACAGCAAACAATATTTCCTGCACTCACATAAAGCACTGTTGAGTATAAGGGTTTAAGACAGAAAGTATTCATCAAGTAAAGTGCTCTGATAATGAACACCTGACCATTTGAGCAGTTTTGAACGATTTTGTTTCGGTTGTGCATTCAGTTTTTCGAATTGAAAAATGCCCATAACTCGGCCTCCAGAGGCGCTTGGCAGATATGGAAGACGGATTTGGAAGCACCGTTCAATGCTCTACAAAGTGATATAGGTGCCATGTGTAAAGTCCACTTCGACTAATGACGCTTCCCTTGTGAGCTCTAAAAACGGGTAGAACATTTGAAATAACCCACTACGCATATGGGGACCTAGACCTATGCGCACACGCAGCGAAAGCGATTCCCAACAATTTTCTGTGGATTCCACATGACAGCATGCTCGAACTTGTCTCTTACAATTCGCTACGTTGTCGCTAATCCAGGGCGATTTGGCGGCCCAGTATCGTCCACGATCGAGGCATAATAGTAGCGCCGACGGGTCATTCTTAAAACTGCAATTACTCGTCTCGTCGCATGTCCGCCTCAAGGTGAGTGCATCGATCTCATAGTTAGAAATAACATTTACTGGACTTAAGTGTAAAATTTTATTGTTTGCGCATATGCAGTGCAGACAGCTCACTCCCAATTTTGTTCCCTTACCCTCGAGTTCTTGCGATTCAGGTGGATTTTTCCATTACTGGTGCTTAGTAATACGGCTCAAGCCAGTAACAGCGAAGGGATAGAAGATATCACATCCGACAATGTCTATCAGAGGTAAATTTTGAGCTCAGTTTAGACAACATAACGCTTTTTTTTTATTTTCATTAAGCATATTCGGGAATTTTGCAAGTAAACTTTCTAACTATTCTCTTGAAGTAAAGATGCTAACATTACGAATTACGTTAGTTTGGAAATTTGCTTCAGACACTAATCATGTAAATTTGCATCATATTTGCTGGTAGAAGAACGGAAAACAACTTTCAAATCTTCTGTGTGAATTTTGTAATTATTCGTGTTGAAAAAAAATAGCTATAAAAGACTAGTGGTTCCTGCACACAAAAATTGCTTGTGATTTCAATACTGTATCATTTTCAGTAGATCTTCGATCAGAAAACTTCAAACCGAGCAAAAAACTTTGGATGATTTGTTTTTTCTTTCGAAAGTGATCAAATTCTTTTAGACTTTTGAAATCGAAGTCAGCTTTGGAATATATTAGGTTGTCCCGAAAGTTTTGTCGGTTTTTTCAAACCTCTATAAAACCACGCACAGTAAAGACCTGAATGAGTTTCGACATGCATTCGATGCAGCTTTTCCTTCTCTTTCTTAAGGTTTCATTTACTAGCCACACTTCTGCACGCCTTTTTTGATACTGCCACAATTCCTCACCGGTCATTTTTACCTGCTCAAAGTTGAGCTAATTTTCAAAAATTTCATTTTCAAAATTCGGAAAGCGTTAAGTATAGCACAAATAGAATAATTCTCGTAATATACGCTAAGATTTTTAGATTCTCCTAACTTACTGTTTCTAGCTTTGAAAAATTATATCTTCGGAGCAGTGGCGTACCGAGGGGGGGGGGGGGAGGAGGAGGGCACCCTTTGTTTTTTTGCTTTGAATGAAAAATTTTTGCCTCCTCCCCCTTTCTCCACCCCCCCCCCATAACTGCTTACAGAAGTTTGCAGTTTACTTAATTATAAATTATTAATACTTCAGCAAAAACTATGAAAAATAAAATCTTGCGTAGAAAAATCAAATTTTCCACACATCTAATCTCGCACTAAGTTCTCACCTTTAGCTCACAATTTTCTGTGAGCAACTGTTTGCATGCGAAATTCTGTGGACTAAAAATCAAATTCCTTGAAATCTTGCCTAAAATCAACCATTTCAAAATAGAACAATAATATCCTTCCACTGATAAATAACTTCTTTTTTTTACCAACAGCCTTTGAGAGTGAGCGATCTCACGGAATATTTCTTTGTATTCATTACCAACCAAATCAAAAGATGAATCTCTTTGTGAATTTTTCAGAGAGTATATCACCCTCACTTTCACAAATTGATACAAGAGTTCTGTAAAATACCTTTCGTTGTGGATAGTGTCGAGATTCTGTATATTCAGGGTCGTGCAAATTCACACACTTACCCTCTCTATTTCTTATTAAGTGCTTCGAAGATCACTCAGAATGCTTATGTATTATGCCGCATTATAATGCTAAATAGGCAATGACTGTTATAAATCCTCTTTTTCAGTGACGACTTTCCGTCTCCGCCAAATTTGGGAAACGCTATCTATTCACCAGCTAGGCAGAAGCCAATAAAGGTGTGTCTTTTTATCAAGTAGGACTATCCTATTGAGCTAGCAGTCAATTTCGGTTAAAGACTAGCTATCGAAATAAAAAAGTACGAGGTTGATGTTGTTGCGATGCTAAGGGTTCGGTGATGGTATTAAACACAGTTTAGTCATTTTTATGAAGTTTTAGCAAAATCCTTTAGATTTTCGAATACTCAAGTCATTGGAAGTATTAAGAACAATAACAAGTATCAGTTTACAATAATCGCTCCTACAGAACGAAGGGTTCTGTGATTTAACTGGATTGGCGGCTGGAAGGAGGGGCTTCGTGACCTAATTGAGGCCAGAGAATAATCAGAGTGCACGCCCGCGAAAGAGACGCAGACTGCGTCGCGGGTGCCAGCGGTCCCTTCAAACCGCCAATCTTATTGAATCAAAGGGTCCCATATATAGGTAAAGAACTTCAAATTATTGTCCTCATATGAAACAGATAGATTGTGGGGAAAAAATTTCAAGGCTACATGCTTACTGATTTATTTGTTCACCTATTTATCTACTGCATTCAAGGGGTACCGTAGAAGAAAAAAGTGATTAGTCTAACACATACCAAGTAAATGTATCAGTAACATTGCAGAATAAAACTGTAATAAATAGTATAGGTAATAGTGTAATAAATAGGATATGCTTTGCAATCAGATTCATTTTAAAATTTTCAGAACAACAACATACTTCAGAATTACTATGAGAAGAAAAGAGCAAAACAACACAAATTGAACAATTATTCCGTGCCACCAATGACGTTGGTAAGTAAAGGATAACCAGACTTACCCTCGTTCATTGATATTCATTCAGCGTGACACCACAGATGAGAGTACAAGAAGTGGAGGAAGTGGATATGGCGTTCCGCAAAGTCCAAGCACACCAAATTACAAAGTTTGTCTTATACAACTTTTTTTTTCATCCAATTCACTTTCCGGCTACTTACAGGTCGTTCGCGAAGCAGATGAGGATCGTCAAGTAATTGCTGGAATACCGGACTTGAGTGAGTGGATACAAACCAGATGTTTATTTAGCATTTTGCTCAATAATTATTGAATTGAAACCTAACCTTGAAAGGTTTTTACTTCCAAAAAAAAGATCGTACTTTGGTATTCACTAAAATAGCTTTGTCATTTCAGGTTCATGACATTCGGGTAAGAATGATAAAATTTGGCAATTTGAAATTGTTTCTTCTTCGTTGTAAGAAGGATTGAGTTGCTATGTGATATTATTTTAGGTAAACAAAAGTGCAATTAGTGTAATTGATAAAATGATAACCTACTCGACTATGCATGAAAACTCACAATCGGGAAATTTACTGTGGAAAAACCAAAGACGCCCAAGAAGACTTTTGCCTGCAACGTTCGAAATTCTAGTTCCCCCGTTCTTTATAATTTGTGCGTCCACAACTTCATGAGACATCCAATAGGTTGGTGCAAAAATAATGGCCGTTTTGCGGACTTTAACTTTGACGTGCTATAACTCTTTGAGATCCGCATTTCCGGATGCTGCAACGATCATCAGAAGCAGCAGCCTTCTGCAATACAGCGCACATTTACTTATACTCAAATTACGAACGGGCAGAAAGTATGGATTGAAAAAAAGGTTCTTCTGCTAGAACCTTCTTGTTGACAATTCATAACTTCTTTCAAAGTTTGTTAGTAAGGATGAGTGCTATCTTGTAGCAGCAAGCCAGTAGTACAAAACACGATATAAAGAATCCGGACAAGGAAGTTTGCGAGAAGAAATAAAATTAAAACTTAAAACTATTTTTTAGCATTTTTCAGTTGCCTCAAAGTCCCGAATACGGAGTCCTCCGATTTTCTACGTACTGAACAGCTAGATTTTTGCAAAAACTGTTAATATGATGCTAGCTCTACGCTTACAGAATTGAGCAAAGCTTCGGCGATTGACTTCTTCAGAAGGAAATTATGGGTCATAAAATGACCGCAACAGCTACACATGTTTAGGCGCCATATCTCAGTCTTGATAACTTCAAAGAACGCATCCATTACATATGATAGCTGAATGTTTGAAGAAGTGCCATTAATACGCGCTTGAATTCTGGCTAGAATTGAAGCTCAGTAACTTTATAACAGATGAGGATGGAAGCCCTTTTCAAACAACATTAGATAGAGCATGAAAACAGTTTCTCGATGATACACTATTTATTTTAAAGAAAAAGTATTGATAGAAAAAATTGCCCTGAAAAAAGGCTCGGAAAATCGGCCATTATTCTTGCACCAACCTAAAACTTTATTATGGAGCAGCAAGTTTCCATTCACTTTAAACTCTCCATTTTTTTCTTGATTGTGGGTTCGAAGCCTGTCACCATAGCGGATGGAAGAAAGAGCAAACTTCGCCACTTTTTCCAGTTTTTAACCTCCATAAATTTTTTCTCCTTACAGCTGATTCCAAAAAAGATCTTCTCATAAAATCTTGCGCATATAACTGATACGGAAAACCTAAAAACAAAAATTTTATTTGAAAAATGATTCTGGCTGGACACTGTAAAGGTGCCAACATAAGATAAAACTCAAATTTTTGTCATACAAAAATTTGCAAAATGAAGCTTTCTCGGGCAGCTGCCAACTATAAACGCTTGAATGCTGCGAGATGTTGTGAGGCAAAAAAAAATTGTTTCCAACAAAATGGACAAACTTCCTTCACTTGGAAAATACAAGTTCCAGATTTGGAATAGTCACTTCGCGCAGGGACACATCGTTCAGAGCATTTGCCCACCCAATGAATAATTAAATGAACCCAGTAACATAGTTGTAAAAGCGTGTCTTAAAGTGAGAATGCAAAATAATAGAACAAATGCACGAAAGAATCTGTTCTTTACAGATGACCCTTGCTTTCGTCGTTATGTTGACTGTATCATTGTAAACGCTCAACCATATGAGAGGAGGTATTTCTGAAAAGTTTATGATACAATCTCTAACATCGGGCAGATTTATCTCAGGTCATCTTTTTCGCTGATGAACTGCAAGGCTCATTGTCTCCAGAGCCAGACAGGAACATACACTTGCCGCTCTTTCGTCTACGATAATATCAATCAAGTATGTGCTTTTAGAAAGAGTAAAAAAAATGGGAAAAAAGTGTGTTTTAGGTATGCGATCTCTTTGCGCATGTTGGAGACCAAGCTCCAGCTCGATTGCTCAAATTCCAGACTCGCGATTACTTTGAACCCACTCAAGCTTATCATTGCTTGAAGTGAGTAATGAAAGTGCAGTTGGAATGAATTGTTAAGTAGTGCAGTGAAAAAAGGATGGCGTTCATACTGTACGGCCTGTTTCAATCGCAATGTCCCTTTCGCGTGCAGTTGCGCATCTTGAGTTGTTTGCGTGCAGTTCTCGGATCGATGAGGCCAATGTGACCGCTCAAGGGAAACGCGAGCAGACGCCGCGCTGCTACTTGTGAGGCGGAGTGCCATTGAAACGGGACCCTGCAACCGAGACAAAGTGCTCATTCTAGCACTACTCATTTCTAGAATATGCGATTGCACACACTGTACACATTGCTCGTTCTTACTAAATAAATATAATTCGCCATTTTGAGTGAATGTAATTAGGAACACTTACGCAAAATTTTATTATCGATCTCTGGAATAAACAAGCACAAAACTTGAAACATCTTTGACGAATTGCGACTGCCTGGTCATAAGATCCAGAATTTGACATGCAATATGTGCAGTGTGCAGTCACACATATTGACATGAGATCGCTACACTGTACGGTTAACATCGAGATTTTTTAAATCAAAAAACTTTGCAGCCCTATCACAACAACAACAATCCAATACACCACAGAAGCAACCACAACCCAAAGTACTACAGTAGCAACGTTACCCATGAGGCCGACTCCGCCCCTTGATCAAGGTTTTCGTAACATTTCTCTTTACAGTAAAAATTCCAGTGGTGTTCTTGTTTAGTCGTTGCACATGCATCACAATTGGACCGTCGAGAAAATTTCGAAGAAGCTGTGAAAACGGTAGAAACGGAATCTCTTGTTGAGCAGAAGTTCTTCGATAAAAGCCCGAAAGCTCCAACATATTGCCCACCAGGAAAAAGAATCAGGTGATTGAACTTAGGGTTTCTCAATCTTATAGATAGCATCGAAAAACACACCTTACAAAAATTTCTTTTTAGTGTAGCTTGGGATTTGGCAAATTGGTGTTTTTGCGGTGTTGACAACGGTTGCGCGTAAAATGATGATCGAGCTCAAACCTTGAAAATTATACTCAGTGATCATTTTTACGCGCAGTTGTTGACGGCGCTGCATTGTCTAAAATGCAGCGCCGTCAACAACTGCGCGTAAAATGATCACTGAGTATAATTTTCAAGGTACACCAATAGAACAATATACGGTATACAATATACGTTTCGATCCACCCCCCCCCCCCTTTAAACACACCAATAGAACAATACTTTTTTCGTAAGAAAATTCTAACGATAAGTTTTCAACAATGTAACTCATAAATTTTGATCACAGCGCCGATTCTTGTTTCGTTTTTAATCATAAATCAGCTTGTTAATGCACTTGTTGTAATCTGTACCCTTAGCAAACAGAAAATACTAGTAGGTTTTTTTTCAACTTTAATGATGAATAGATTCTAAACTTATTAGACAAATAAGTGAAAGCAGACCAAGATTATCAGAGTCGGTGTTTTATCGTTAGATATGAGGTGAGAAGATTATGCTTCCCTCTTTTTTGATTGGAAGCTGGCAAAAATAAGTTTTTATGATGTGAAAATCTTTCCAGTTTTCTCCAAACTGAAGGTTTCGAGCTTTACAACAATGACGACATCATCTTAGCAGTGAGCAGTGTATCTGAGTGTATCTCAGCTTGTGAGAGAAATCAGGTAGGCCCAGTAGCATCACACACTGATTGCGAATAAAAAGCAAGCTTGCAAAAAGTTCATACACGAGTTTGGAGGTCCAAAAAATGAATAAATGATTTTGTGGAAGACTGACAGCTTAATTTTTCGAGAAAAACCACTAAAAGGAGTCAAAAGAGTGTGCATGAACAGCAGAAAAACATTTTCTCTGATAATTTCTGGGGGATTCAAGACACAATCAATCAATCATACACTCTTGAGATGTGTTCGAAAAAGATATATTTAGTCACCTCCAGCTTTTTTGTGATAATTTTCACCAGACGACAGCATGCTATAATTTTTCCTGATAAAATAACCAAAAAGAAGTGTTTTCAGATCACTTCCTGCCTTTTCATAAAGGGAAGGAATTGCTGTTTGCGCTTTTGTTCTAAAAGCACGATTGCAAACAGAAAGAAAAACTATCAAACTAAAAAAACCTCATTCTCTCTTGACATTCCATAGTAATGCTTGTTCTTGCTTGAATTATTGCTCCTGCAAGAGGGAAACGGATTAGGCTTCGCGAAAAGCATAATCCTTCGGCAAAAAGAAGTTCAACGAAGTGCAAACCATCTCGTTTTTTAGTGTTATTTTATTAGCCAGACATAGTAAAAAGCGTAGAAGCAAGTGTAGAAGTGTTCGTATATTTTTCTGTGAAAGTCTCGAAAACGAGTATGAATACTCGTACCCAAAAATTGTTATTCAAATTAGTAAAAGCACCAAGCTTAGCGTTGTGTTTTGATCTATCCTTGCACAAATAATTTACAGATTTCTGGACAAGCACTTGACTGCAGATCATTCGACTATTCTGATTCGACGTGCTCTTTCTCAAAAGAAACGGCTGTGCCAGTTGGAAATGGCCAGCTGAAGCAACGCAATGATACCACCTACTACGAGAAGATTTGCGTGGCAGAGAGTGCAACAAAGTTGTAACGGTGCCGAGAATTTTGTTACTTAAAATAAATAAAAGCTTTCTAGAAACTGTTCGCCAACATTTGTACGCTTTCCACAAATGGTTTTAGTCGGTTTCGCTGAAGCTGTAGCTGATGCGGCCACATTTGAGGCTTGTTTTGAGTACTGCATGGAAAGTCAAACAAGATTCGGATTTAACTGCTCCAGTGGGATGTACTTTTTCGAGGTAAGGCCTTCTCAAGACAAACTCACTAGCTGTTAAATTGATATCATTTCTAGGAAGCGCAACTCAACTGCATCTTAAACTCAGAAGATCGACACACTCAGAGTGATCTATTTGCAGAAGAAAACACGGACATTGTAGACTACTTTGAAGTTGGTTGTCAAAAACCACCTCCACAACCAACTCGTCCGCGGATGCGATCAGCTAAAACTTTTAGTAAGTTCTATGTTCAAAGCCGGGTTCGAAAAATGCGTATAGCTTTTACTCTAAGGTTTTGAAAGGACATCCACATACGCTGTATGGGGAGGAAAGAAATCTTCATAAGAATAATAATAGTGGATAGAGAGGTTGAGAAAGAAATCAAATGAAAAAACGACGTCGCATTAGTCGGAGAAAATTTTTAGATCGATGTCGCAATTCTATAGTTTTTACTTTTACAGAAGAGGCGTAGTGAAGATGCTAAAAGATATTTCCGTTCAAAAAACGAATTTATTTTCTGCGAATTTGGAATCACTTCTTTCGGCAATAAAAGTTGCCGAAGAAATCGTTTCTATTTATACTTTCTCATTACGTCCGAACCACAAATCAAGTTGGTTCTCAAGCCAATCTTAACCTGAAGACTAACAATCGATTTCTTTCTCAGACCTCGGACAAAGTTCCCGCGATTTGATCGTCGCGATTCAATCGTCGCGATTTCCATTCATTTTTATTTCACATTCAAAAATTTCGGGCTGGAAAAGTACCACAACCGAAATGCAAGCTAGTCGGCATGCAATGAGCTCGTAACAGTTGTCTTGTCGCGATTGGATCGCGACGATCAAATCGCGTGAACTCTATCGGAGGCCTCAAATATCACTTCTAAAATTTTTCATCTTGTTTACTTTGGTCCGCACGCTTCCTTCTCTTGCCATGCTTTTGAACTGGAAACCATGTTTTGGATTTTCAAAAAAATCTTCCCAGCAAATCCGTTTGATGATTATGATAGTTACTGCAGTGAAGTTGACCACTATAGACACAGACATACCATTTCCCTCATGAGAACTGTTATGTAGTTATTTTCACTGCTCAAGACCGGTCAGCTGCCAAACTGGTACAAAACCAGGAATAATCTGCACTAGACTTGTTTGAACTTCTGTCGCCACTTTTTTTTCATGAGTCCACGGATTATTCCCAGGTGTTCCTGAACTACTAGTCGTAGCGGCTGAGACGCAAACAGACTGGTCGAAATGCGAAGATGGTTTTCAACATCGGAGGCGAGACTGCGACGACCCGGATCAATGTGGATTAGAAAGTCGGATCTGTGGAGACGAGCCTTTGATAGAGATGCGACCGGAAAAGAAAACGAGGGATAAGTATGGTATGAAGAATTTTTCCAAATGGCAAAAAATTTGATTCATGTTCAATGCGTTGTTTAGATGACTTCCCAACACCCGAAGATATAGCCAAAGTGAAGGCAGATGTCCTCGCGCATGGACTTCGGTGCCGAGCGGATGTGTGTTGCCCAGTCTTCAAAGGCTGTGCTGTTGGGCTTCGACTTAATTCGAATCTGAAAAAGCTGGAATGGTGCAAAAAGCCATGTGCCAACAAAAGAAGGAGAAAACACTGATGCCTACTCTAATTCTAATCAAAAACGAATATTACATATAACCTAGTAGATTTGATATATGATGTAGTTTGCTTGCGTTGGAGACAACATTAATGCGTTCACAATGGCAATGAGCCCTCTATGGCCATTCCTCACGCGCAAGTCACAAGCCATTTGGCAGCAGTTACAAGCATGACATTTGTTCTCGCGCAACTGTTGTCGTCACCGCAGGAGCACTACATCAACTGTCAAATCTATTAGACCGACGATGAGCTCATTAATGGAATACTTACGACTAAAAATTGTTTTCGCATAGTAATAACTAATCCGAATCATGATCATCATAAGCTTTTCCCCTTGTTAGCTTTACAAATTTTCTCATTATCATAAGAAATCGCCAAATTCGTATAGACTGGATCTTGTCGTGCGATAACTAACCGTCTTTCTTTTTCATTGCTGAGAAATAATCAACTCTGTTGTCTTTCCTGTGCCTTCATTTTTCTTCTTTTCCTTTTTTGCTATGATTTCTCGTAATAAACCTTAAGACTCTAACCCATAAGCCGTTGCACCATATCCCTCTCAAAATGTCATCTCTAATTCTAAACTACTATAAATTACAACTTTGGTTGTGGCGGATCCTTACTTTTTTTTTCAGGAATAAGTTCCCCGATCGTGCAAAAGAACTTTAGCCACGAAAAAATATTTTTTGCTCGCTATCTAATTCAAAGGAAGATGACCTGGACAAGCAATTTTATCTGACATAGCAACAAAAACAGCGGTAACAATCAAGAATGGAACGATAAAACAGATAACAATCTCCACACAAATTATAAAGATACTTCCGATAACATTTTATCAGCTTCATTTAACAATTTTGTAATTTCTGCAAATTTTTCCCCATCATGCTCGCGTCCGCTCCACTCCTTTTTTGTTATCGTGACCATTGGTCTGAGAGACATCCTCACTCGCGATTTTGCCTAAACAAGGATGGCCCTTCTGACCATTATTTGTCTTTATGACATACCTGTTTTACCGCATCGTCTCCTTTGAGCGAGGCAACGCGGAGACGTTCGGTAGATAATTGAATGGCTGAGGAAAGCACAGAACAACATTGTTGAGCATCTTTGCTCCAATTCTATAATTAAAAAAAATGCAGTCACACAATTTTATAAAAAATATTCTCATTAACGACAATGTAGATAAAATCTTATTTTCAGAGCAACCACGAAATTTCGAAAACTAAAAACTTACGGGCTTATTCGAGTCTGCAAGTAACGCTCTCTCCAACAGCTGTATGTATTTTTCTGCCTCTTCAATGTTATCGCTTTTGGGTTTCTTCAGGGATGCATACGATCGCCATGCCTAAAATAAGCTGAGCTGAGATTTACGCAGATAGATCGCAAAAACGTTACCATCAATTCGATACAATCAAATTTATAAATCAAGAAAGACCACTTTTCAAAAACAATAGAGTAGTGTTAATACTAATCTTCCCTGACAGCGTCTGCACCGAGCTGACTCGTCCAAACAGCTTCACCAGCTCTGCCTTCAATGATGACGCTTCATTCCTCGACTGCTCGTCATCAGCCTATAAACGCGCCATCCTTTCTGTTTTTCATCTACACAAAGCAAAGTGAAATACCTCATCACACATTTTTGATACATTTGCAGCGAGGATTTCCAAGACTTCGTCATCTTTTTGCTGTTTATTGAGATCCAGCAGTCGGTGGAACGCTAGGATCGCCTACGAAAAAACTATTAACAATGAACAAGTTAACATGGATTTTTCAATTATGTGAACCATTTTCAAAAACTTCGGGACCTATTTTCAGAGGTGCAAGTCTGATATTAAATAAAGTTACCGAAGACAAGTTTCTGGAAATTCTATAACTGAGAATTTTTTGGGGGAATTTATGTCTGAAAGATTTTTGCTGTTAATTCTGAATTAAATTTTCGCCCATTTTGTTGATTTTTTCTTATTTTCTGTATTATTTGTATAGTTTTGAAATTAATTGGATCGAAAACTGTTTTGGCGTCATGTATTTGTCGTTTGGACTCGATTTATTTTTTTTCTTCTTTGGGTTTAACCACTTTACTGGTAATTTTTCTGGAACTTTGTTGCTCTTCTCCTCCGATAAAATATCCATTAAAAAATTCTTTTGCTAGTGTATAGGTACGCTGTTCAAATCCCTTCCCTTTTTGTTTATATTTTGAATAACACTTACCTGATCAAATTGTCCGGTGTCCACGCATAGAAGAAGATAATTCTCCCACACTTTTGGGTGTTCATAGTTGAACTTCAAGGCCTCCTGAGATAGATATGCTATAGCACAGTCGACAACTTCGTCACTCTACCTTTAAAATTTTGGCAGCTCTCTCTTTCTGTCCCAACTTGATATAAGCAGCCGATAGATTGTTCCACGCTTCAAAATGTTCTGGCTCGAAGCTAACCTGAAAGGATTATTTTTTGCACACTTTGCCATGGTATTGATATGGTAACCTACACATCGATGATAGCAGGTGACTGCGTCTGCATAACGTTCCAACTTCCACGCACAGTAACCGGCATTGAACCACACTCCGAGCTACAAAAAATAACTTTTTCATATTATGAGAAAGAAAAGAAGGCGTGATACCAACGAGGCGCTAGCCGAATTTCTGCTTGAGAACAGCCGACTGTAAAAAAAACTCTGGCTTTTGACAAACTGACCTGTATAGGTTGCAGTTCTAGACTCCTCCTCAGATGCTCATATGCACTATCAAATTGATTACGAATCAACATCAAGAATCCATATGACTTGCGAGCACGAGCGTTTCGGTCATTTGATATCTGGAAATCTGTAGATAAAATCGCCAGCCAAGAATCTACGAGTCACGTATAATTGAGAAAAATGGACGTAACATTTTTTGATAGTGAATGTGAGGATCATATGCTTTTGACCAGGCCTTACCTCAATGGCCTTATCGTAATAACTTCTTTCCAAAGTTATGTCTCCCAAATAGCAATAGAGCATAGAGTCATTAGGCCGATCTGCTAATAATTTTCTAATCAAAGCTTCTGCCTGAAATATTGCAAATTCAGTTTTGCAAAGGAAGCTAAGATGACACCCACCTTCTCCAGCTGACCGAGTTGCTTGAAACAGTCTATGACATTATCCCACATTTCAAGCTTCTCGTAGATTAGCAAGCATTCCTAAAATGACAAATGTTCGCGAGATACTGAACCAATATGTCATTGAATACGGCAGCAGTTTGAGAAGTTCAAAGAAACCAACCGATGTGCACCCTAGAGATCGCAGAGTCTCCGCATGTATAACGTGAGCTTCCCAAAAAGGATCCAAACCGCTGGCAAGCACAAATTTGCAACGCTTTGAGATCACATCTTCAGCAGTCTGCAAATGGTCTTCGAAGACTTCTGCCAATCGACCAGAGTTATAGTAGATCTGGTAGGGATTGAAACTTATAAAATATTATCGACTAATCTAACTCAAAACAACAGTAAATTATTAGGTTGGTGCAAAAGTCCTGTCGTTTCATTTTCAAAAATTTGTAACTTCGCGAGATTTCGACGGATTTGCTTGCTTATAATTTTATTAGAAAGAATTGGTCTTCCGCTTTCAATCTTAGTTTTGTGGAGCTTCTGTTTCACACTGAGTGCAGAGATAAAAATGGAAGACTAAGACCATGTGAACTTTGACCATTTTAAGTTAGGTCACCAAAAATCTGGAATGCTGCAGAAAAATCTGAAATCGTCAGTACATATGTTTTTTGACCTACCCTTTGCAACTATGAAAAAATTGTGCTGTTTGGACGTCCCTGTGAGAAGTTATGATTTTCGCGAGAACTGACAAATTAATTAATTTTGGCGTTTTCCATAGCAAACTCGATATTCATAACTTCTCACAGAGATGTCCAAACAGTACAATTTTTTCACAGATGCAAAGAGTAGGTCAAAAAACATATGTACTGAAGATTTCAAATTTTTCTGCGGCATTCCAGGTTTTTACCTAACTTAAAATGGTCAAAGTTTACATGGTCTTAGTTTTCCATTTTTATCTCTGCACTCAGTGTGAAACAGAAGCTCCACAAAACAAAGATTGAAAGCGGAAGGCCTATTCTTTCTAATATTGCAAGCAAGCAAATCCGTTGAAATCTCGCGAAGTTATAAATTTTTGAAAATGAAACGACAGGACTTTAGCACCAACCTAATATTTTCAGATGGCACGTTACACGATTAAGCTATCTGTGAGTTTGACTTTTTATAGTATTTAAAAAAAATAACCACATAATTTGACCGATGACCTCAAAGGGAAGAATAAAAAAATCAAAATTATGCATACCTTGTCATCTCCATCCATCAATTTGCAAATCAACTCAGACTGTGCACATGCTCTTTCCACTCGTCGATTTTTCGTCCTTTCCAGCTCAGATCTAGCTAACAGAGCTGCAGTCTGCACCGGCCAACATCGTCTCTGACTGATAATCTGTAATTTATGTCAAAATGTTTGAAAGGTGGAAAGACTAAATACATTATTGACTCGACCTTGTCGAGAAATGCGTCTGCTCTTTCCATGAATAGCTCGTCACAGTGTTCAGTTCGCCGTTCATATCGAAAGACAGCCAGAATTACAGCAAGTTGTATAGGAGATAGATATCCAGCCTGCGTGTCGCCTTCGGCAAGTGAGATCTACACAAAAATGAGTTTTTTGATATATAATTTAGAGTGACAAAATCTCACGTTTTCAAGGAGGGTATCATCGTTTAGAGAGCAATTTGCGGGAACATCTGCATCTAGGTGAACCTGCGACGGCGCTGTAGAATTCTAAATTCTCTCATGTTATTTTTTTATTTTGGTGTGAAAGCTGTAAAGTGGAAGTTATACTTACGGCGCTCAAAACAAGTTGGGCTATGTCATCCTTCTGGAAACGTGTCCGCTTACCCATTTTTCCCGCCAGCTCCAGATTCAGTCCAGAAATCTTCAATGCTTGTCTTAAACGAGAGATGTTTTTCATTTAGTCTAGTGCAAGTCCTCAAGAGTACATGAGAGCACCAGCTTGGAACTTTAGCTAAAAAACCTACTCTATGCAGTCAGAGCATTTCTCGTAATTGTAGTAAACCAGATGTGAATTTGCCCTTTCTAGCAAGTACTGTACTTTCTCTTCATCTTCCAGCTCGTCGATATTAAGGTCTCGAGTCTGAACAAGCAAGGTTCAGAGACTATATTACGGGTGGGATACCCACGCTTACAATATCATCTATGCGATCCTTCAAAATCGTGCAAGGTTCACGAAGAATTTTTTGCCATAGCAGCAAAATCCTAAACACGGCTCAAAAAGTCGAATTTTTGAATTCAAATATTCTCCTTTACCTGAATGTTAACAACCTCGCCCTCAAGGACGACTCGATGACATGCTTCTGATCCAGCAGAGCAATTTTGGCCAAATGAAGCAAAGATAGTCGTCTAAACATTTTCATATATTTTATTTTAACTGAGCTTCACTTCGGCAAAAAACCAGCCTTCTAATCTATTGACTGGAACACACCTGACTTTGAAGTACGGCTCATTGAGATCAAATTTCAATTTTGAGGCGGCTACAACATGAGACATGAATGGGGGAAGAGACGGAGAAGCTGATCCTGAATAACCATAGGCGATGATCAAATTTAAAGTTTCCTTCGCCTATTCGTAACAGCAGCTAGAAGACAACTTTCGGGCATAAGTACTGTGTTCAATATGCAAAAGATATTATAGTTACAACTAAGTCACTGCCTAGGCAACAATGCAAATAATTTACTCGTGGCAGGGAACCTTCAGACAAATTAAACTTATAAACTTCATTCGCCTCAGAATAGATCGCAGCATCAGTGATTCACCATATGGCGAAGCGGATAAGTATCTGTTGCGGCATCTATTTCTAAACTCCCACTAATAAACGCTTAAGTTCATTTTACATAGACTTCTCCACCTCTCGAGCTAGCGATGGTGTAAATAACAACACCTGATGACAGTAATGAAAAAAAGCCAAAATAATTTTGCACTTTTGCAGTTGGTGAATTCTGAGTGAGTAGCAGACACCAGTGCCAGCTGGTAAAACTCAAATCCCAATGTTCAGACCGCCCTCACTTGCCGTAAGCACACGACGAAACTTGTTTTCTCAACGTAAAAATACCTTCATATAACTTACCATTGCAACCTGCAAAATTTGCACCGATCACAGCAAGAAAAGCCTTGTCCACCAACGACAGTATATCCTCAGAAGAAAGGTCACTCAGAATACGATGAAGTGCTGACAGATCTTGCGCTTCACTAAGAAGCTTCCATGAAGATCCTTCTGTCATTTTCTCCGAAAATTCCATGCAATAGATCCTCCAGAAAAAAGATTCTTCGTTTATTCATTTTCAAGTATATTCATCAGCCGAGGAAAGCACTGCTTTCAATGCGCACAAAAAAATCAGAGTGCCACATTCATTCCCACGTCATAAATAGAGGCAAACATATTATACGATATATACACTAACAATTCGAATTCAATTTTGTTCACCAAGACCAAATGAGCATCATGTCCACACAACATTCGAGAAAAATAGAAACATGTAACAATATAAGAATCTGAACATAACAACGAAAGAAATACTGTAGAACACACACACGTATGATTGATCGCATCGCTGTACAGATAACTCTTCAACTACCGAAGCGCATGACTATCAAATTCTTGCACAGCTTTTCCAAGTTTCCAGTCTAATCGAAAGCAAACATTTCTAAACAGATAGCTAATTCACTTCTTGAATCCTTTTAATATCGGGTATATCTGGCTGAAAGCGTCGTCAATATCCTTTTTGAACTTGGCTCCAGTGATAACAACCTGAAAGAGGAACTACCTTGAAAGCGCACGTATATTGCTATAACCACCGAGATGGAAAGATGAGAGTAAATGCGTGGACCCAATCAGAATGAAAGTGGAAACAACCAAACAAACCACAAATGTAGAGGTAAAACACTAAGTTGAACAAATTTTCCATAATCTATTAAAGAAATACTCCAACCTTTCCAGAAACGAAGATCAGCAAGACCACACGAGGTTTGACCATACGATAGATAAGTCCAGGGAACAACTCTGGTTCATAGGTACTGAATTGAGTGTGCGTCACACATAGTCCCTCCAGTTGGATAGGGAAGCGTACATCACAGGATCCTACCATATTTTGCACCTAAATAAATTGATAGAGTACGCAGCTAACTCTCCTTTATGTTTGCATTGAATATGACTGTTCCTATTTTGGCAATTATTTGCGCAGCTGCAATCATATTGCCTCAAAGTAATAAAAAGAGTTCAAAAACTCACTTTGAACTCCGTAAATTTAGCGTCAAATCCTAGTTTTTGCACTATTCTAGCGTACTTTCGAGCAGCCAGCCTGAAAAGCCACAAGTTCAAAAATTCGCAATAGTCTCGCTAGACGCAGTACCTGCTAGCATCCTCTGATTTTGCGCCAGTGCAAACCATTTTGCCACTGGAGAATATGAGTGCAGTTGTTCGCGGTTCACGAATGCGCATGATCACAGCGGCAAAACGTTTTGGATTATATTCTGCGTTGCGTGCATGCAAAGCTATCTTCTTCAAGTCCAGTGGTACACCTAAAAATCAAGTTGGAGTGTGACCAATATACTTAAACAGACTACAAACCCAAATTCACGGTAGACACAATATTTTGCAAAGTGGGCATGGGAATGTCAATGGCACTAGCTGGAGTAGCTGGCATCATAGCTGCTGGTAGATTTGATGCCGGCATATGATTTGTATCTCGATAACTTTGCTTAAGAGAAAAATATGAAGCATCAAAAACTCGAAAGTTACATACGAGAAAATTACCTGCTCGAAATTCAAAGGAGTCATAGGTACAGCGAGATTAGGACCAACTGATCCGGGATTCATGTCCTGCAACAGCAAAGGATCGGAATGAAATATCTTCATAAAGAAAATCGTGTTCAAGACCCCTTAATTTCTTTCAACAAAGTTTGACTAGAAACTAGGACAGAATTTACAATGCAAATATTATGGATCAAGAAAATCATGAGATTTCATTTCTACTGGAGTGAAAATATAAAGAACAAACCTGGAACACAGAACCCGGATTCCCTCCTACATTTACGACTGATGAAGGATTGATGTTTAGGTTTAGATTCATATTACTTCCACGATCTTGCGAAGCAAACCCAACCATCGAGCCAGGTCCACCATGATTGCTGTGCATCATACCTAAAATATCGACATACATGCTCGCTCACACAGGTCTAAAACTGCAGAGAAGCAAAAAAACTCACTCTGTTGCTGATGAGATCCACCTATCATTGAAGACGGTCCAAGAAGACTGTTAGGCCCTACTATACTAGATGGTCCCATGATGGAACCAGGGCCCAACACAGACCCAGGTCCACCATGCTGACCAAGTACGGAGCCAGGGCCCCCATGGCCACCTGCAAAGATATACTGAGGTACAAAACCAGATTGATAGTTCTTATTGAAAGCTAGATAAGCAATCTGTAGCTTACGAAGAACTAACGAACAATGAGAACCAAGAATTATATATAGCTGTAAGCACCACCCACCTAAGATTGAAGCAGGACCATGTGCTGGAGTCTCGCCTCCCAAACCACCCAGCACTGATGGATGAGGACTGTTCATGTTCATCGCTAATCAAACGAACAATGACCGAACCCTGGAAGGCACTTCGTATATCATAACAATTTTCAGGAACAAAATTAATGTAAACAGTGAATTTGTACACCTGCAAGTGAGACACAAAGTGCTACAAACATTTATCATTATACTGTAAAATTAGAATAAATACAGCAAAAGTCAACAACCAACGAACAACAAAGAGATAACAACAAAATCAACAATTAAGCATTGCATGGACTATCAAACACACCAGAACTTCTCATACATGAGATTGAAGGAGTTTTCAGGAAACAGTTGGCCGGTTGGAGGGGTGAAGTTGATAGGGATGCTATGTTCTTTTTGTTCCTTGAAGACAGATAAGCTTTTAATAGATCGAGGTCATTAACAAAAGACCTACTTCATGCTTTCTTGCGAATTTTCCCCTCTTTGCCATTGGAGTCCTTTTAGTTGGGATATCCTCATCGTCTGAACCATCCTGAAAAGTGAGGATAACACGGTTGAGCAGTAATCTGGTCCTCACATTATCCCGACATAAGATAGACCAAATAACTACAAACTTGAAGGTACTTTTTGATAGCTATTTATCAGTGGCGTACCGAGCGGGGGGGGGGCCCCCCCCCCGAGAATGGGTCGCGAAAATTTTGAAGGTTACTTATAAGGGTTATAAAAATGTGCAAATGACTTGTTTGTACTCGTAAATAATTAAAATAATTTTTAAAAATTTTTAAATATTTAAATTAGCCTTGTAAAAAAATTTTTTTCGGAGGCGTGGCTAACGCCAAGCCCCTTTTTCCAGATTTTAGGGGTTGGGGACCCGCAAAAATTTTGAGAAGCACCCCTAAAATTTTTTCGGAGTGCGTGGCTAACGCCACGCACCTTCATTTGAAAAAAATTTTTGTCGCCCCCCCCCCCGAGCGGAAATCCTGGGTACGCCACTGCTATTTATATGTTTAGCAAAAGACATACCTGTGCACGGCTATACTTCTCTTCCATGGAGCCTTCTCTACTGCCAAAAGGTCTTGCCATCATGTTCGAGAAAAGCTCGTCTTGACAACGGAAGCGTACAAATGACTCCACCTTAAACAAACAAAGTTATGTGAGAAGTTACATGAAGAGCAACCCGAAACAAAAGAAGAGTACCTGTTGCAGTTTCTTATCAACGAAATTCGCTCGTTTCGCCACATTCGGATGCCAGTGTTTTTGCAAACTCTTTGAACGAAAGGAATGTTGCGGTTATGGGAATCAGTAGTGTAAAGCAAAAAAGACGGATTACCTTGATCTCCCAAAGTGAGCTATTGAGAGCGTTACATTTGCTCAGACTTGGTTCATTTTCGTCGTATGGGTCAGAAGCAAGAGTTTCTGGAAGATTGTCATAACAGACTAAAAATATAATGCGCAATTGATAAGTATACCTGGCACATCACGATGAATGAGGCAAGCTACATTAGGGTGGCGAGTCATCAGATTTCTGATCAATCCTAGTACCGGTTCTTGAGCGTCCAGTGGAGCTAAGAGAAGCATGCGAGAAAGCCTCTTTGCAAAACCCGCGACCACATAATTAGGGATGTGCCTAGAAATCACTGATTACAAGCGTGTGGCATTCAACAATAAGGTAGTGTCAGAAACGCTAAATCAAATTTTGAAGTAGTCAGACAATACAGATTTCATATGTGAAAAAGTGGTATAGCATATGGAAGCTCACGTAGATGAGAGGAACTGATCAAGAAGGGTAATGAATTTCTCTTTCTGTTCCAAGTACAGTACGGATGGCTTGGTTAATGAGTAAACGTGGTCGTAGAAGTTGGGATACTCACTAAACATGATAATTACGACATTCTATCTATTGAGGTTCTACAACTTACAAATTGTGAGCGACAATCAACTTGAAAATGGCGCCTAGTGACAGAATAGCAAACATATCACCTTTATCGAAAGCCTAAAATACTTTACCAGAGGAATTTAGGATGTCGAAGAGGCATACCTTGAAGAAAAAATCGGCGGTTTTGTGAGGTTCGTCCAGCTTATCTAGGACATTCTCGGTAACGTAGGGTATCAACAGAGACAAAAGTTTAGGAGGCACCTAACAAAACCTTTCATAGAGCTTGAAAGCTGAAGTGTCTACAAAACTCACTGTGCACCTCAACAACGCGATCCAATTTTCTTGGAACATTCTTATCAGCTTCTTTTTCTTGTGTGCTTGGAGTGGATGATCTATAGAAAGGCGTTCCTTGGCAACATCAAAATAAAATCAGGTGAAAGTAGTAAAAGAAACTTACGAACAACGCTGAAAACTCTTGGAGTCACAGAGACACGAGGATCAGGAACAAACTTGACAAAATGAAACACATTGAACCATGTCGAGACGTTATCTTGCTTGAAGCTCTAAGCAAACTTTGATGGAAAATGAAAGTCTACAGCATTTTCATACCAAAAAATGAATTCATTTTTATTTCATCTTTAATAAAAAAAAACCTGGTACCATTACATTTGAAATTAGATAGAAGACTCGAGAACGTATGAACATGTTTAGGCTGGGTTCATGTTATGTCATCTTATGGCTGGAACTGTTCCTAAGTTCCGGAACAGTTCTAGCACATCGCACAGTTCGATCGCTATGCTGGAACTGTTACGGAACTTACGGATCAGTATGAACCCAGCCTTATAATCATCTTTCCTTTCAAACGCTTTAAACAAAAAGGATGAACATGTCTAAATTCCTTGAGCAACGTGTGTGAGCGTTCTCGCGTTCCCACCCGCAGATCAATCACAAGCGAATCAAAAAACGAAAAATGAAGAGGTACGCTGAAAAACCATACCAGCACTTGATCTGGAAAGATACGACTAATTTCGAAAAGGAGATCACAGCGTGCAAAAACATCCTTGGTCAGATTCTTCATAACTTTGAAGGCGATCTTGCTGCCACAGTCGAGGAACAAGAAGAAACCCTTGAAATACAGCAGGATGAGAAAACAGCCAATCAGTACCAGGGCTCGGCACGAGGTGGCTTACAAGCAAGCTGGGTATCGTTTTTGGGATGAAAAGCAAAGGGTGTTTCGTTTCTGTGAGCGAAGACACACGCAAAATTGGCGATTTGGCGACGTTTTTTTTTAGTCGACGTTTCGTTTTTTGGAGGATTTTTAGGGAAAATGGTGGGGGGTCAAAGGGGACTTCGTAAAAATACCCAAAAGTCAAGGGGAACTTCGTTTTTTGCATTTTCATCTAGCCACCTCGTGCCGAGCCCTGATCAGTACTGTCTGACGCTAACCTCTATCAAACACCGGAGTGATTTAGTAGGTACCACACGACCAGTACGTTTGCATCTTTCGTAAGGCTTCATCTTACGTATTTGTTCACACAGCTCCTAAAAAGTTCATACGGCTTGAGCGATCAATGTCAAAGAAATTGATTTATACTTCAGCGAATTCGGCCTTCATCAAAATGAGCTTCCAGTCATGCGCAGAGGGAGACTCCGGTTCTTCCCTATTTAGCTCATATTCTGCATCACCGGCATCGTTATTCGCATCGTCCTGTTCTGGTTCACTCCCATCGTCGGATCCACTCTCAAGATCCTGGAAGAGACTGAAAAAACAATACGGTAACATTACGCGGTCCCCTCCCCCTACCAAATCCTGAACTTTGCTGCTCAGACAATTGCGAGATATCCCGTAAAAGATCAAAAGGGAGTTACAACTCTTAGGGACCCGTCATACTTCGCCGAAAAAAAGCCCAAAAAGCCCAAAGAAGCCTGAGAAAGCCCAAAAAGCCGGAAAAAGCCAGAAAAAACCGGAAGATCCCAAAAAAGCCCGAAAAAGCCCAAAAGCCGGAAAAAGCTCAAAAAAGTCCGAAATAGCCGAAAGGCAGAGACGAACTTTTGGTAGAATTCTGACATTATTTGATGTGCAGACGACAGAAAATAAAGTAAAAGACCCGTTGCGAAATCAACACACATGCCTTAGCGTCAACACGGAGAAAACGTTTCGGTTCTTTCGGGCTTTTTGGGCTTTTTCCGGTGAAGTATGACGGGTCCCTTACGGATAGTTTGTTTGGTTCTCAAAACGGATGTTTCCTTCCCATGGACGGTCAAGCGCGTTTTCGGCAGACTGTTAACAATCCGAAACTTAGTCTATAAAAGAGCAGAAGTGCTTACTAGCTGTACACAATTAAACGGTCTTTCCTAGTAAAAAGGTAGAAATTTCTGCAAAACTGCTGCTGATTTTATTTTTGAAAATATTCGCCATCGTCATGTCCTAAACTCATTCCGAGACAGCAAGACTGAACAACAAACACGACTACATAAGGGGAAAGCTAACCCAACCTACCGAAAATGAGTTTCCACACTTGCAATGAATAGCCAGATCATACCTGCTCGTCGCCATTGTCTGCGCTGTGCACTTCTGTCATATCCGCCTCCTCTCCTTCATGGTGCCCATTGCTCAGCGTCCCATTCCGACCATTTTCCATGCTAAGCACAATTTTGTACCGAGTGTACTTTTAGATGGAATCGATATAGCGTGCTTCCTGCTCTGAGAGCAATCCTGCTCTGCTCTGAGAATAAAAAAGTAAGAGGCAGCCGTGTCGCCTTTTATGGTCGCGTTAGCTATATATAGTCGTCCTCCCCCCACTAGACACCTAGTGGACGAGTTTGAATTTGAACTAGAGCATGCCGATCGCGGCAGAGCGCGGCACAGTTACATTCATTTTAAGGTCATGGAGTATTATTTTGTGTTTTCTCGTCGTTGCATGGTGATTCTTTTTGGTTTTAGTCACCCTTTCAAATCACAGTCGACGAGTTTGTTGTTGATCAGATGTTTCATACTTCTATGCTCATTCTTCAGCCCCATTTTCAGGTAAGGTTACAGTTTTTGGACAAGAAGTCCTATGGAGCAGCTTCAGGACACTTACCGAAAAAGATTTCACTAGCATACTTTCCAAACTTAGTCGTTTCTTCAAACTCAACCTGGAGTCAGAATTGAAACGAGCATAACAGCATGAAATTTCGATTACAGGCAACAAAGTTTTCCATTCTGATTGAAAAAAACTGTTAACATTCAAAAAGTACAATGAATCGTCGGAAAAACACAAAAAATCAGTTTGTGATTGAAGTAAGGGCTGCAGGTGGCGCGCTCCGCTGCAACCGGCGTGCTCTGATTCAAATTCAAATTCCTCCACTAGGTGTCTAGTGGGGGGAGGACGACTATACTGTAGCTAAGGTCAGCGCCGGATTCCGACGGATAATGGTTTCTAGAGCAAACCCTCTTTTTCAAAGTTAAATGCTTAGTTGATGATTCTTTTGTGTTTTTTATCTGAACAAGACCTAAATGCACGCTTTTTAAAAGTTTTGAGAGACGCTTCCACTATGAAACATGGTTGCACATCCATCTATTCGGGTATATTTGTGCCACACTCAGACAATTGGAGCGGGCAGCGCGCGCGCAGTCACACAGTGGCGCAACACCCAGTGCGCGGGTGGCGGGACATTGGATGCCGCGCCGCTGGTGCTGGCCCGCGGATGACTTCAGTTTTTCATTGCGCTGTATACCACAGGTCTTGATAATGAATTCCACTCTTCATACGCCAGAAATATGAATTCGTATTTGAATCCAAGAATTCAGATCCAGCATCCATTTGCAGAGCTACCGAGGGCTAACGCTTGGAAGCAAAAAACAACTTCCACTTCTGCGACTATTCATACACTACGACGTAATATCTAACCTCTTGAATGATGAGGTAGCCTGACCACTGCGTCGTACACTGCGCGGGTATCCCTTGTGCTTACAGCATGTGATAATTGCAGGCGCGCGGGCCGCACGGGTGGAGTGTAAAGGCACGCGTGTGGCGTGCTACAAAATTAGGCTCGCGGATGGCGAGATCGAACATAAACGTAGCGCGCGGGTCGCGGTGTTGTCCATTAATACGCGCGCCGCACGCACCAAATGTCCAGGATGGCACGCGTTTGGCGTAGTGCCGGACACGCCCACAAATAAGGCACGCGCTTTGCCGCATTGACCATAAACGCGCGTGCGCCGCACGCCCCAACTATCTGAGCAGAAGCGAACCGTTCATTCACACGAGCAAAAACGTGTTGACAGTGACTGGGGCCGTATCACTGCGAGAAATGATTGAGCAAATACACAGTAGCAAAGCCAGACTTGCTTGTTAAAAGCTGAACTCAACCAAAACTCTATTGAAAATGGAAGGACAACCCAGGTTGTTTCCAGAATTAGTTGTGCAAAAGCGCGGGTGCTGCACGGATTCACATCTACCGTAATGCATTGCTCGCTTGATCGTGTTCATCAAGTGAACTCTATTTTTTTCATTTCTCCTTTCCTTTTTTCTTTCTATGTCCGTGCTTTTGGTAACGGTGTATCGGAGACTTTGCCTGATCTGAAAAAGAGGCAATGAATGTGTAGCTTGCACAAATTGTTACAATGGCGAAGAGTGCCAAGTAGACGTCGCCATCTTCTCAATTTGTGAATGTTATATACATTTAGTTGCTTTTTTTTCGGAGGAGTTCGCAGCTCTCACGACTAAGTTTCCTTTCTTTTTCACCTGAAACCCGTGAGCTTTCTGTAAGCTGGGTCAATGATGCTCCGCACCAAGGTATTACAGATTGTTTCAGCTATACAGGACGCCTATCTGAGTGTGAAAAGACTTAGTGGACCCTCTAAAACGATTTATGAAGGCTCAATATGTTCACTGTTGTTTGTGCGGCGACAGGATCAAAACGGATAGCGCAACACGTTCCTCCAGAACTATGGCTAACAATTTGATTCTGCTGTCCGCTATGAAGACATATACGGGTATCGATCAAGAAACACTCAAGAAATGTTTTACTGAGTTTACCAAAACTCGGAAATACATTTGTACTATGCATTTTGTGAATGCGGTAAGTTATCTTTACTTACGTAAGTATCTTACAAGTAAGATTTGATCTTTCAGGCTCAATATATACTGGACGATGTATTGAAGGCTGGTGGCACTCTTTCACAAGTAAAAAATGGCAATTTCATTTTGAACGGGGTCCCAGTATTTGTCTCGAAAAAATTGAATTCTGCAACAACATCATTTGCAGTAAGTTGAACTCCTAGCGATTTTTATCAACTCAGACTTCAGAACTTTATTTTTTACTAGGATGAGGTCTTAATCAGCAGCAATGATGTGATAACTTTTGAAAATTATTATATGGAACGCTATTGTGACAATGGATGCTGGAATATCCCCGAGGCACACCCAAAGATCAAAAAAGAAAAGCAAACTCATATTAAAGAGGAGAAGACTCATATTGAGGTTGTTTTTATGCCTTATCGATGGTGTCTCGAGGGTGTCCTGTAAAGAAAAAAAAATTAGGCGATAATGTTGATGGAGGATAAAGCTGGCACTTCAGACGCATCTAATGACGCGAATGAGACGACGGTTAGTTTTATGACATCATCTCCAATAGTTAAACGATAAAGTAGTTGAAAAAGGCAAAATCTTATTTCAGAACGACTTTTTCATTCCCGAAGAACAGGCTGAATCGACAGCGGATAGCGAAAATCCATTGGAGCTGAGCGAAACTGATCCATCACTGCTCAACAAAGTCTTCTCAGTACAGGGTAAAGACCTTCTCGAGCTATTCCACCTGAGCCGATGCGGATGCGAAGACAATAGTGCCGGACGAGTACGCCTAATTGAAAAAGATTCCGCTCCAGTCATACTTTATGTGTCCACGGGAAAAGAGCCAGAGGTGAAACGATGGAAGGGGCAAGTAGGCAGTTGAGTTCTTCTCCATTTGGCATTTGAATTTATCGCTATCTACGCTTTGTTTTTTTGCTTTTCTCATTTTTCCACTCTATCACGTACTTACAATCATGCTTGAAGTGTTTATTTAATTTCGATAACTTATAGAGAAGCTGTTGTCTTCACATTGTTGAGCTCTTGCAATAGTGTCACAGTTGCTGAATGTTATCTTGTCACTCTTCTATCACGTGCCACTGATTCTTCTCGGAGGTTTTTTGTCCAAAATTCGCGAAGGTGCACTTTTCATTGTGACCCGAAAAATCGTTCTCAAAAAACAAGAATTCCGGTAGGGTTGTCGTCATAATACAGTATGAACTCCTGATCGAGCTATGAATATCAGCTATCATAGGCATTTCCGGGAACAGTGGAGGTTAATGGCAGAAATGTTTTGTACAGAAAACGGCGTCTTTACTTTCCAATGTGTGACGTTATGTATAAAGGCTATTACTACTTTGAGTCACATTGAAGGATTGCATGGATATATGTGCAGATGTAAAAATTGCGTGGTATTGGTGCTTGTGGTTCAATGCGCGGGTGAACGTGTACGGGTGCTTACATGTGAGGGGATTCTAAATAATGTATCGTCCTTTCCACATTTGCTGCTACCCTTCTGGCGTCGCGGACGTGCCACGTGTGCGTAACACGTTGGCAACGTTGGCAGCAACACGTTGGCAACATGCAGCAACATGCTGGCGTGGCCAAAATGTTCTGCCAACGTGTTGTGGCATGTTGCAAACATGTTGTTGCCACGTTGCCAACATGTTAGCCTTACGTGGCAGGTCTGAGACGCAGACCAAAGGTGGCAGCAACTGTGGAGGGGACTATACCTGTGTTTGGGGCAAAATTTGAACATAAAAAGTGTGCACAAATTTAGTTCTCAAGCAAACTACTATTTACTGTGAAAATGTTGCTTTAGCAGAAACAGAATGCTTGTCCTTTCCCCAAATTCTCAAACAACAATATAGTGAGAAAGACTTATCGGCTGTCTCAATCAGTGAAACAGCTCCAATGGCTTGGATACTAGAGTCCCCCCGTTCGGGCCTTGTGCCACGTTCGGGGGCATGATCTCTTTCGCCTGGGCAGCTGCTGCTTGTGCTTGAGAAGAAGAATGCACAGAGAATAGTTTGCTACTCGGCGCAACTCGGGCGAGGCGCGACGATTTCAGCCGCTGGATGTATGACGCTATCAATGACAGAATATTTCTACATATGAGATGACTTTATAGTGAAGTGACGAATCTGTACATTTCTGCTGCAAATTACTCACCTTGTCTTTTCTAACGATATTTTGTAGGTTAGTGTCTGTCCACAGCCGTGGTGCCCACTCCACTTTTGTAGATATCGTCCTTTCCACAGATGCTGCTATTACTTTTGTTCCTATTATTTGCGCCACGTGCAGCTAACATGTTAACCACATGCAGCAACATGTGTTAAACATACTGTCGCAGGTCATAGGCCTCGGGCAAAGTTCACGCGATTTGATCATCGCGATTGATCGCGAGAAGACATTGTAACAGTACCATTGCATGCCTATCATCTTGCATTTCGGTCGTGATAGTCTTCCAACACGACTAATCGTGACTAACTATCACAACCGAAACACAAGAAGATCGGCATGCAGTGAACTATAACACTTGTCTTGTAGCGATTGAATCGCGACGATCAAATCGCTTGAACTCTGTCCGAGGCTAACGCAGAGCAGGGCAGCACTTATGGAGTGGATGAAAATTTGTCTTCTGTATAAATAAAGTTTTGAGAGACTTGGCTTGGTGTGATATGAATTTCTAGTGGTGAATAAATCCGGTCATCTTTTCGGGAGTGGTACTTTGATGGCTTTCCACGGCTATGTTCTGCTCTGAGGTTCAGCCAGCCGAGTGCCAAATAAATATAATGGATGTAGGAAATTTTTTTAGTGCGCGACCGCTATAACGGCAGACGGCATTCCGCAACGACTAAATATCGCCAAGACACATTGAAGGTGAGTACATAGCTTCAAAAGATAAGAAAAGAAAATAATTACTGCAAAAAAGCGGAAGCAAAATGAATTCCCCGCTCGATCTCCCCTTCTGCATAAGGGGGCTCCCCTCTCCTACTCCCAGGGGATCCCCTCTCCGCTATTGTCTTTCTGCATACGGGGGTTCGCGTTGGGGAGGGGAGCCCCAGCGGGGATCATTTCAATGGTTAAACATACGGGCCCTAGACTGGAAGACTCGGCCTTTATACCCCCCCCCCTTTCCACTCCAAAAATGTACAGATTTTGGTTTTTAAGCGCTCAGACACTCGCACCGGCCGGCGACCGTCCGACGATGGCCTTCCGGCCGGCGGCCGCGCCAACTGTTAGGGCGGGGCTAAAGACCGGCCGGCGAGCGGACGATGTGATCGTGCCGGCCGGCGGCCGTTCCAGTGTGCAAAAACACAAGCAGCGCGAAGGACTACGCATACAGTTAGAAAATAAATTCAAACATCGCATGATTGAGATCCTGATGTCCCGCCAGACGTCCATCGTCCGGTCGCCAGCCAGTGCGAATGTCTGACCGGCTGGCGTCCGTCCGTCGACCGGCCTGCTAGCGAGCACGAACGGCTGAGACGGATCCCGATCAGAGGTGCGATAGGTGGAGCCGGGCCCCCCAAAAGTGAAGGTGGTTCCAGTTACCACTGGCCGGCCAAAAGTGAAGGTGGTAGTGTCGGACACTCACCTCCCAAAAACGTTGACCGGGGAGGGGGGGGGGGGGGTAGGGGGAGGGAGGACTTCGGATAACTGAAGAACTCTCATCTAATGGCCCCTAGGGCCAACAACTGTGACCTAACGGCCCTCTTTAGGGCCACAAATACGATGACTACAGCGCATAAAAATAAAAATAAAGTAAACTGTTAGTCAAAAGGTCTATTTGTAAGTAAAACCCAGCTAGACTTTGTGTATTTCATCAAATACATTTTGTTATGACGTACTGCAAAGAAAGTAGGTCGATCCAGGCAATAACCGCCGAGAACCAGGATTTCGAATAATAAAATAATGAAAAATCGTGAAAAATCATTCCACTGTTACAAATCTGCTGGCTGAAGACCTCCGCAGTTGCGACTTCATAGGTTTTGAAGGGTAAGTATTGTTTTACCAGACAGTGAAAAAATCAGTTTGATTTGAGGAGTGGCCGCCGAGAACGGGAATTTTGAAAAACCTTAAAAATCTGCTCAATTTTAGGTTGTTTAATGACAACTGACATTTAAACTATCATAAATCCGGACTTTAAAGGTGTGTGATGTTGCGACTTCATAGGTTTTGTAAAGTGAGGTTTGCCTTATCAGAACATGTCTTAGCTGTACCGATCCATTGAAACGTCGCCGAGATCCAGGCTCCTAAAGAAGCGGGTAAAAAACCGTTTTTCAGCTCATAACTTCTTCAAAATTGCATGAATCATGTTGCGACTTCATAGGTTGGATTCTCCTCATCAAGAGCTTTCAGATGATATATAATATGTGGGGGGTTCACGCCTTCCACGGCATATGCCCGGGGGTGGAGTACCTCTCTTCACTAATTCTCCACTGGCGGCCTCCCGCCAATACATTGAAATGGGCGGGGTGGAGAATTAGTGAAGAGGAGTACTCCACCCCCGGGCATATGCCGTGGAAGGCGTGAGCCCCCCACATATTATATATCATCTAAAAGCTCTTGATGAGGAGAATCCAACCTATGAAGTCGCAACATGATTCATGCAATTCTGAAGAAGTTATGAGCTGAAAAACGGTTTTTTACCCACTTCTTTAGGAGCCTGGATCTCGGCGACGTTTCAATGGATCGGTACAGCTAAGACATGTTCTGATAAGGCAAACCTCACTTTACAAAACCTATGAAGTCGCAACATCACACACCTTCAAAGTCCGGATTTATGATAGTTTAAATGTCAGTTGTCATTAAACAACCTAAAATTGAGCAGATTTTTAAGGTTTTTCAAAATTCTCGTTCTCGGCGGCCACTCCTCAAATCAATCTGATTTTTTCACTGTCTGGTAGAACAACACTTACCCTTCAAAACCTATGAAGTCGCAACTGCGGAGGTCTTCAGCCAGCAGATTTGTAACAGTGAAATGATTTTTCACGATTTTTTATTATTTTATCATTCGAAATTCTGGTTCTCGGCGGTTACTGCCTAGATCGACCTACTACATAGATATATGCTCTTAATACTTTCTTTTACATTCCTTTTGCTTATTTTCCTTCTTTTGAGCTTCAGCAAAAAAACTTTTTCAAACCGAAAAGTGAAGGTGGTCACCCTGTACCAGCTCAAAAGTGAAGGTAGGCGGAGAATCGGCTCCGACTATCGCACCTCTGATCCCGATGTCCCGCCAGACGGTCGTCGGACGGTCGCCGGCCGGTGCGAATGTCTGACCGGCTGGCGTCCGGCCCGCGACCGGCTCGGCCGAAATATCGGTGATGTTCCAGACGCTCGTCGGACGGTCGCCGGCCGGTGCGAGTGTCTGAGCGTGAGGTATGTTGCAATGTGTAATTGCGGAGATGCGTACTGAAACCATTTTTAAATTGTTCAAAAGCTGGCAATTTTTGCCATTTTGCCTATCTCTGTGAGATATTTCTATGTAAATAAATTAGCATTGTGTTCGTAGCCTCTTAAGAATGTATGATTTCCTGGTGCTTCCCCTACAGTTCATATTGGCGCGTTTGGCGCGCGTGTAAAAAATTGTTTTCCTCGTTGCACGTATGCTATTTTCTGACGTAAATAGAACTGCAAATTCTTTGTGAAACTTTTAATTTTATGCTGCAGCCGGTGAGATTTGGATGGTTTGCTGACCCTTGTATGCTTTGCATTTCAGTCAAGATTTCTCGCATCTCGCTACTTTGTCCTAAATTTTGCCAGAAACTGTCCATGTCGTCATTCTGTCAATCCTGCACTCCAATATGTTCAACCCTCAATCCCACACTCACCAGTAGTCGTCGCGGTGAAACGCTGCTATTTTCACAACGGTGCGCTGTTGTTTCGAACTGATATATAAATTTAAGCATTGAACTTTCGCAATTGAAAATCAGAGGTATTCAAAAAATCAGCATCTCACTGAAGATTTGCGTCCGTTCTGATGCTATCAAAAATTGATCTGCACTCATGCCTTTGTATCTATTTCTGGCCAATTTCTGTCCAAAAAAGGAAAGAATCTTGCCCCTGTCGCATTATCCAACTTTTCAAAATTCTGACGAATCATTACGAGTGGTTACGAAAGTGAGACGTATGAAGCGAAAAGGAATCGAAATTGTGTGCTAGAAGCTATTCCGGCGAGCACTTTCTCAATAATTTTTTTTCAGAAATGTCCAAAACTTTGACTCTGAAAGACGTTGGGTATCATTTCAACGATAAAGGCGAAGTTCGGTCCTTAAACGTAAGGTTGGATCAAGCATCACTATATGGTTGACGGGATTTTTTTCCAGGATGAATCTCCTTTTGTTTTTACGAACCAAGCTGATTACGACCGAATTGGCAAAGCTATGACAAATGAGGTGTACGGACTGCTTGAGTCTCGTTGCGGTCTCAAGAAAACTGAGATCCCCGTACGTTATTTTCTTCCTTCATACGTGTTTGTTCTATGTAAGATGACTTCTAGATGAAAGTAGAAGACTCTGACGGGAAGGCTGTGGATCACTGCAGCTTTGTTTTTGTGTCCCCAGATTTTTTGCAAAAGTCTACGATTGTACTTATCATCCATGGCATGGGAGCTGTGCGTCCAGGTCAGTGGTCTAGGAGGTGAGGTTCCGTCCAAAAATTTTGAATTTAGTGATTTTTCTAGGAAATCCGCAACACAAAATTTTTTCTGCTCCGTTTGTTGCGCCACATAGTTGATCAGTTCTTGTTACTCATTGTCAGATAATTTTACCTCCTTGTCGATGCGTTCTTGTCTTCCGTCCATGTTACACACCATGGCGGTCGCAGGATTTTCGTCCGGGGAGGGGACTGCGGCAAAATTTTTCTAGATGAAGGTGCTTGGCGTTAGCTACGCACTCCGAAAAAACCCATGACCTCTAAAATCTAGAAAAAGGAGGGTGGCTGCCGCCACGCCCAAAGAATTTTTTACAAGGCTAATTCGAATTTTTGGAAAATTCAAAAAATTTATTTACAAGAATAAACAAGTCCCTTGCACATTTTTGAAACCATGTAAGTAATTTTCAAAAATTTCGTGACTCTGGTAGAGTAGAGATTACCGTCGGTAGGCGTCCTCCGCAATCAAGTGGTCCTTTCTTGCACACTTTGCAGGAAGCGTGAGAACAATTGTTCGTGGAGGCGGCGCCATGGCGTTATTCGCCCTATCCTGATTCTGAATGACCGAAAACTTTTTAAAAAATACTTTTTAGACTAATTTTGAACGAAAGTTTGGATGTTGGATCTCAAATTCCATATATTCAACGTGCTCTCAAGAATGATTGGGGAGTGATTGTCTGTAATACAAACACCGAGCAGAATGTAAGTTTGAGCTTCTCATTGCTTCGAAATATCTCTTTCTTCTTGGTTGAGGCCTGGCTTTCACAGCGTACATGCGGTTCGCATGAATTGTGAAGGGCAGTCATTTCCAATTTTCACACTCAGACGAAGGCTCCTAGCTAGTGTTTCACTATTTGTTACTTGCCTTCGAAAAAAGCCAACATACACATTCGTTCGTTTCTCCTAGTCAAATGCCCTGTAATTGGCCTTTGCGCTTACTCGTTTGGAACAATTACAATTTTTTTCCCCTCCATGCTCTTTTTCTACAACATAAACAATGTGAAGCTTATCTAATTCAAGATTCAGTTCAGAGAATATGCTCGTCGACATATATGTGCAGTTTACGATCAGCTGCTAAAAGATTCCAGTGGTCAACGCATTTTTGTCATTGCTCATAGTCGTGGAGGTCCTGACTTTGTTAGCTCAGTGAGTAACTTCATTCTGAAATATTGTTGATTCATCCTATGTCTATTTTAGCTCCCCTATTTTCAAAATGAGAATCGTTTTGAAGTCGTCTGCCTGACCGATTCTGTTGATTTTGAGATTCCTCGGTGCTCTTCGACAGAGTACTCCAGTGGCGGCACTGTCTTCATAAACTGGAAAGCTGATAGTAAACTGCAAGGTACTGCTATCTCAGATGAAGATATTCTCGATATATACTCACGAGTTCATCAACTTTATGCTGGTGCGTCTTTTTCTGTAATTACTTTCCTTTATCTGTAAACTTTTTCCGTCGGACTAAATTTTTCTGTTCACCGAATTTATTCACTGCGATGATTTCTTTCATTTCAAGGAACAACTGAACATGAGAGGTCTTCACATGCTGCTTTCGAAAGTGTGTTCCATTTGCTAGAACACTGGAAAAACTCGGAAAGTTTGGCAAAGCTGCTTGTGGAAGCAGCTGGACTCACTTCGGTGAGTTTCTCTAATTGTTTTCCCTGAAATTCGACTGATCTAATTTTTGCAACAAACTTAGCGTACTTTGTCAAAATAGTTGTAGGGATCCTCGTTGTTTTTAAAATTTATCGAAAAGCCTCTTGCTATATTGAGCTGAAAAATTCTGCTTTTTTGTCAATTGGAGGAAATCTTGAAGAATAGCGAATAAGGCACGACGTACCATTTTGCAAAAATCATTATTCTATCAGGTGGTATTTTTCAGGCTGGAGTCACAGAACAGAAGGAAAAGACGTAAACATCACTTTCGAGTATTGGCTGTTATTTGTTATATCCATCTTCACATGGTCCTCGTCATTGTGCGCATGCTCTGTTATTTATCTTCCACATGCTTTCACCTCCGATCTTACGTTCTCAAGCCACAAATAAATCTTCTAGGGCAGTTCGAGAGAGCATGCTGTATCAGTCAGTCTCGTTGTCGCCACTTTTGCCGCCCTGAGTCTAACGACTGTTCTGGTGCTGATAAATTTTGGGAGTTATCGTTGTGGAGGTGACTAAAATGGGGTCTACGGATTTCGTACAGCTGTGCTTCAACATATCTTTGAGGTCGGTGTGCTTATCAGCTACGGTGTGCTTCCCTTCAACAAGGAGGTTGTCATCATTCGAAGAAGTTACGTTGGACGAATTACACCTGGTTACACGAATTCCGAGTTGACCTTATACGTCTTGGTTTTTCCGTAACCACTTAGACGGCTTTGTCACGCGGGAGCGTCACTTTTGTAAGTAGGCGTCGTATAGCCTTTCCTGTGCAACATTTCAGTGGAATCTGCAATTTCGGTTCTTTGGGTTGTTTGGAGTGCAGCACGTAAAGTCTAACTGGACTACAGTAACGCTCATAATTCGTTAAATAGTCACCGGACTCCAGAGTTCGCCGAATTCCGTACCACACGGTCGACATATCTCGGTTAGTGGACGATTTCTGAATCCAAGGGCATCGTTCGACTCAGCTACTCAGCTCGGCGCTACGCATCTCCTGATATAAGTGAGTGACCGTTTGGTTACAAGGCGGACAGATCTTACGAGCCTTTTTGAATTTTTGCCCTGTAGTTCCAGTGTGCAATGAATAAGTATACTGAGTTACTCCATCTAGGTTGAATTCTTGAAAGATCCGTGAAGTCTGACCATGCATACCACATCTGAACGGGAACTTTTCTTTCTATATGATTTTGAAAAATTTTCTTTAGAGTTATAGATAATTCGTATGTTGCATCGTATAGCTTAGACGTGTGGTTAATGGATAAGTTGGGCAGGAATTTCGAGAAAAAAATTTTTTGTTGAGATACGGAGCTATTTTCGGTGCAACTCCTATTTTTTGCTTAAAGGCTTATCACGGTCAATAGATGCTCAGATGCTCTATAAACGTAGTGGGGATAGCATTTCTAGAAGGTTCGATGTGCTGCAACTTCACCATGCTACCTGTGAGTATCTGACCCCAAGACCCCTCCACGGACGATAAAGCTTCAAATTTCAACTTTAAAATTTGTCAAAGCAGATCAAAACTGCGTCTGAGGAGCCACAAAAATTGTAGTGTGTATATGTGTAAGAGATGTGTCTAACATGATTTTTGGGAGAATTATTCGCCAACTTTGGTTAGCGCGTTTCAATGGCCTGAGTATGAATGTTGAGGGGTCTGTATCTCTGCGAATATTATAGATTTGGAGCTAAGGTTTGCATTATTCGATAGATATCTGAAAATATGATTTTTAGAGGGAAGGTCGTAGAACAACAAATTTCCAATAAAAGTGGCTTTTTGACAGCCGAACTTGGGAAATCTGTCAATAAGGGCGAGTTTGCCCCTTATATCTCTGCAGGGCTGGACAAATGCGATGTAGTCATTGACATGACTTTTGGTATTTGGTATCTCTATTTTTTCGGGGTAGCTCTTGTCATGGCTCCTGCGTAGGAGGCGCTATATGTAGGTGAGGAAAAGGAAGGGAGGAAAAACTGACTGCTTCTTATTGTTAGAAGCTGCAGTAACTCTTGGACCGGAAGGAAGAAAAAATTCGCTTCTAGAGGCTACAACAGGACACTCATGTCATCGCCAGAGAGTTAATGATAGAAGATAGTTTGGAATTTCGGAGAAAAAGTAGTAAAAGAACTTGTAGTGTCCGTTCGGTAAAGCGCTGTATAAGCACTACAGAATCTGTTGTACCGGTAATGGCATTATGTAGTTTTCGTCCTTAACCGTTATTCTTTATTTCCTCGTCTTTCTCTTAGGAACCTCCAACTTGGAGGCCCACTCGCTATTTTGGTGACATTCCTCTTCCTCTTATTAATCTTTCACTCTCGCCCGGCATGTCACCCGCGAATTTTTTCACTGTCTTGGTTGATCTTGTCAATTGCGCAATCTCCTAGAGCGGGCTTTATGTGGTGTGAGTATGTGCGTGTTCTCTGCTGTCAGGTATAGGGGTGTACGGGCCCTATCCTGATGTGTGGGAGTACATAACATTAGTTTCTATATATATTTATTAGATAATATCTACATAAGAGGGGAAGTGTGGAAAGGGAGAGGTTGCTGTAGCAACCTGCTTGGCGGCGGTCATCGAGGGTCACTGTCTCGGCTCGGGCTTTACAGCCTGCCCAGGGAGGGGAGCTGCTGGTGGAACACCCGACACTGCCTTGGAAATAAATGGTTGTTGGGAGACGGTGCACTTGTGACCCAGACGTACTGGCAACTCGACATGGCTAAGTTCCAGCTAGTTGTTTATGGCGCGTGCTAGGCCCGTGGTGTAAAAAGCTAAATTTGCAACATTGTACTGGTACCGGCACTTGTTCTCCGGTCATGCCTGGGAATTGGAACGCGAGAATTTATGATAATGGGTTAAGGCTGAGTTATATAGACTGTGCCAGAAATAGAAACTCTGCCACGCTATGAATAACTGTTCCAGCCTTACATGGAGGTTCCGGCCATGAACTCAATCACTTTCTTACGATAGTTGTCGAGCTTGGCCTAGAATTTTGATAGCCTGAAATATTATGTAAGCGCGATTAAATTTCATAGCACCAGCAATGAACTCTACGCAACTCTGCTCCTACCTTGTCATTCATCTCAGAAACAAAGCCCCTGAGGAGTCAGAGGAAGACGGAAATAGGGGAGGCCGTCTTTCGGTCATGCCCGAAAATTACTCCGAGATTCTATGTAACATTTTATCGCTTTATCACTGCCCTAGAACTTCTTACTCGAGCCAACCTGACCGAGTTGTCGGCCAATACTATTTCCAGCTGGTGCGACATTCTGTTCGAAATAGCTCTGTCCTTAAATGGAAGCTGCGGCCTTTATAATGGGGACCACGGCCGCTACCGGGTCATGGCCTGGAACGCGGAAAATTTCTACTTTTCATTTCGCAGGTGCCCAACGCGCTGGGGCACCCACTGTCTGAGGGAGCACCTCAGGCAAGTGTAAGGAAACTTTCAAATACGCACGAAATGCTTTTGTTCGTACTCAGAAGCCGTGATCATTTGAGTAAGCGGAACCGAGGAAAAACCAATTGCTTCTTAGAAGCTGCGGTCATATCTGAAGTGGAAAGGAGGAAAAAGCTGCCTTTAGAAGTTTCAGCAGGACAATTATGTCGACACTATACGATTTATGATGGTTGGTAACTTAGCATTCAGAAGAAGAAGGAGCAGAAGAACTTGTAGCACCCTGTTTATGGAGCGCTATATAAGCGCCTTGTAGATAGCTGTTGTATGTTATGCTTTCATCTTTTTTGACTTCTACTACATTTTTCTATCCTCCTTCTGAGAAGGGGTCTCAGCTCGGGACCCTATCGATGTTTCCGGAATAATGTTGATTCTCCGCATGCTGTACCTTTCATACTTCTTACGTTCCCGTAAGGAAGCCTTTTCACTTTCTGCTAATGTACTTTCCAATACTAGGGATTAGCGAGGATTTTAAGATAGATTAGTGTGTCTGTATGCGTAAGTGTGCGTTCTCCGCTCCGGTAATAAATGGTTGTTAGGAGATTGTGTTCCCTTGACCCGAAACGATCGCAACATAGCGTACTATTAGCTTCTTATGGTTGTTTATGGAGTGTGCCCGCCGTCGGAAAAAGCAGAGTTACAACGTTTTTCTTTAAACGGTGATGTGTTGCTTAACGGCCACTCGGGTCATCCCCGGCGTAGATTGATAGTTATGGGCTAAGGTGGCGCGCCCTATAGAGAACGGCAAACAGTAGAATTTAGAGTAAAAATCCACCACTACGGAACTGAGCGCGTACCTTACATGGAGGTTTTGGCTCCGAACTCAATCATCTTTTTTCTGTCATTTACGATAATTACTGTGGGGACAGAAAAAAATTTTTAGGCCACTATATAACTACATTTGTATATAAGGGCTTAGTTGGGACGGAGTAGACATTGCAATGGAATGCCTTGAGTTGCTATTATTCATTCTGCGCACCATCAGGGGGGAGACTCCCAATTTCCCAAAGAGGGATTTGGAGGACTGGATGTCCCTCCAAAAGAAATCCCTCTCCCTCCCGCCTATGGATTTGCGGCATGGGACCCTGTTTGTGCGTTGCTACAAGCTAGTTACTCTGATCGAAAACTTGACCCGTACCTCTCTCGACCGCCTCACGGATTTCACCATCTCCGAATGGTGCCGTGTGTGGCTGCCTACAATATGGCAGCTGCGGAGTGCCGATTGCAAACCACATAAATTACCGGCTCCTTAGCAGAAATGCTAAGGAGCATAGGTTTTTGTGTGATTCGTGCCAGGGGGTGCCGCGAGGGCACAGTATTTATCGGCACTTGGCTATCAAGTGCCATTATAAGCTGAAATATACTGATGCCCCACTGATCGATTTTCCCCTAAGAACAGCGGATCCCTGGTACTTGCCATGGAGCAGGTCTGGCTAATATTTAACAATCTGCCTGAAGCTATCATTCATCCCCGAAATGCGTTGTTGCTGAGGAGAGAGCGAGAGGACGAAGAAAAAGCCGCTTCCGAGCGACCTTCCACTAGTTGGGACTGATTGTTTTTCATTGTATTTTTGGGTATTTTTTTGTTTTTGGGGATGTATGTTTTATATTTAGAAATGCTTCTGATAAATTTTGCTTGACTCCTTTGTAATTGTAGCAGAAGAAGATAAAAAGAAAAGAAAGAAAGACGAGAGTACATATACATTTTCTTTCGATAGGTGTGTCCTTGATAAGTCAACAGAACTCTTTAACATTAGGAAAAGAAAACTTGTATCAGTCTGTAAATCTAAATGGCTCGTTCCCTGTTGTTCAAATCTTTCGCGTCCTGCAGCTGTTCGATCAGTTCCGTTTCGGGCACTTATTAATTTGATCTTGTCTCGCAAATACTGCGGAGGAAAGGAGAAAGGAGTAAGAACAGGGCTTGAGACCGTTTACGGATCAAGCAAATGCTGTTCTCATCC